TTCACGTTACGATTACAGCCCCATGCGAGGGTGCGCGTGGAAGTTGCTTTACGATGGGTCTTCCTAAGGTATCCACAAGGCGGCGGACCAATGGACTTTTTGATTGGGGATCGAATGTTCAGTCGGGAGTGAAGACTGGGGAATGGCCCTCGACCCCCCCCACCCGTGTAGAAAACTCGCAGTTTGTACTGGGTCGTTCTCCTGACGGCGGCCCCACATTCGGAAAGTTAATTTCCAAAAGGGGGAAACGCGGCAAGAACATTTGCGGAGCAGGTTTGAGCACGCGTGGTCAGCGTGCGGTTCGCGATGTTGGCCAGCAGCTTTGCATCCCGCAAGAAGGGAAAACGAAGATGGAAGAGGGAGGAGGAGGAACTGGAGGGGAGGGACACGCGGAACAGGAGTGGTAAGAGGATGATGAGGGGAAGCAGGTGTGGCAGGAGGAGCGGATAGAGAGGGAGAGAAAGAGTGATATTTTGGGACGAGAGTGGCATGAAGGAGAGGAGGAAAGACGGGAGAACGAGGGTAAAGGAAGTTGGTGGGGGTGGGGATGGATGAAGGAAAATAATGATCATGACTAGTACTTCGGGCAGTATGCTGCATCGTGTCTCTTCCCAGCTCAGCGTTGGTGGGAATGTTGGGCCATCAGGTGGCCCCGATTCGCCAGATATGTGCTTGGACAGTGGGGGGTGCTGTCAGCTCGTCTCTTGAGCAACTGAAGGTTCGTTGCCGACAGTGTCCCGCAAGAGAGGCGTAGCCACAAGTCCCAGCCGACGAAGATTCGAATGCACATGGATGTTGCCCCATCGGGTCGTCTGAAGAGTATGTGTGGCTGTACGCTTCAGTGCACAGGAGTGTGCGTGGCTACACCACACGGTGGCCTTGCCGTCTGAGGCCGTACACTGGCACCGTGCGCATTTCCAGCATGTCGTGCGTTGCGAACGCAACAAAAGCGCCACGACGGGGCACGTGGAGCCAGTCCAGTTGCGACGGGGGGAGGCAGAGTAAGACTACTCATGGTTGTGACCTCTTGCCGCTGGAGAGCAGCGGTCCCGAACATCCGAGCATAGAAACGAGAAGCAGGAGGACTAGAAAGGAGCGGCAGGACCATACTTACGATTAGGAGCACGAGGGGGACGATCAGGAGCAGGAGGAAAAGGAGGAGGAGGATGGGGAGCAACAGAAGCACGAGCAGGAGGCAGGTAAGCTGGCAGAGGATGGGAAGGAAGGACGGGGATTTGAATTTCAGTATGCTCTGGATTTGTGCAACCAGCACGTGCTTCCTGCCGCCGTCAGGCATGGGCGGCGGCATGTGCAGAGGTAGCACGCAGGAGGCCGCCGGGGTAACATCAGGGGTGTTTGGCAATTGCTGCAGTTTCGCTCGTCCCTCGTTGGGCGGAGGGGTGGAGGGAGAGTGCAAGGAAGGAGGGCGCTAACACTACACTCTTGGCAGTCACCCTTTGATGCCGATGGACGGCTGTTCTGTTAATTTCCAGGTTGCTGATCTTCTGCGTGCGCTTCATCATCGTAATGATGTCAGCTTGTCTCGAGTGTGTGTGTGTTTGTAGGCAAGATAGCCTCAAAAGCTAAACTCAAAAAAAAACTCGAATAATACTCTAAGTCGACTCTGATTCATTTCTGGCCCGGAACTTGTGTTTCATCTCTGCTTGTTTTGAAGCTATGAGTTAATTGTGTACGCTCCGCGAGTCCCCACCAGCCCATCCAAAAACAGCCGATCGAAGAAGGTGCGCTGACCGTAGGGTGTTTTCTCTTCCTTCTCCCTCTCTTTGGCTTCTTTCTTCCATCCTCCTCTCCTTCTCCTCGTCCTCGTTGCTCCTTCTCTTCGTCCTCCTCCTCCCGGCGTTGCCGTGCGATCTTGGGGCTCTCTTGGGATCTCAGGGAATCGTGGCCCTGGGGCTCTCTTGGGGCTCCTTTGGGAGTCTTGAAACCCTCTCGGGGCTCTTTGTGGGAGTTTGGGAGGTCTCTTGGGACCATCTTGCAGGCCATCGGGCAAAGAAGGAGAGAGCATTTATTGGTGTACCCCCGTCGGGGCCCGAAATATCGCCTCTTGGAGCCCTCTTGGGCCGCTCTTGGGCGCCTGTTGGGCGCTCTTGGGGCCGTCTTGGAGCCCTCTTGGGCCGTATTGGCCGCCTCTTGGGCCGTCTTGGGGCACTCTTGGGCCGTCCTGGAGCCGTCTTGGGAGCCTCTTGGGCCGTCTTGGGGCGGCTTTGCGGGCCTTTGGGGCTGCCTTGGAGCGTCGGGGAGCCGAAAGGGCGGGAACGCTAAAATGTTTGAAACGCCCACGGAACATCAATGGTTTGGGTTTCTTGGGGCCCTCGTAGGGCGCCTCTCGGGGCTCTCTGGGAGCGTCTTGGGGAAATCTTGGGCCGTCTTACCTTCTCGGGGGCGTCCTCGGGAGGCTCCGCGGCCACTTGGAGCCGTGTTATGGCGGTCTTGGAGCCTCTTGGGGCTCTCTTGGGCTGCTCTTGGGCGCCACTTGGGCGCTCTTGGCCGTCATGGGGCCCTCTTGGGCCGTACTGGCCGCCGCTTTGGCCGTCTTGGGGCCCTCTTGGGCCGTCTTGGAGCCGTCTTGGGAGCGCTCTTGGGCGCTCTTGGGGCCATCTTGGAGGAGATCGGTCAAAGAAGACGAAAGCACTTATTTGCCCCCCCCCCACACCCTTCCCCCCCCCCCTGTGGCCACGATCCTTGTGAGGGGTGTCAAAAAATGAGCCTCCCAGGGACCGACAAAGGACGCCCCGGCGACCCGCGGCCCCCCCTCTCCAGGCCCAGGGGGAGGGGGTAGGGGGAGGGGTCAAGACCCCCTCCCCGCCCGCAAGCCGTCTCGCTCACCCCCACCCGCCCTCCCAACACATACGTAGCACCCGAGTCTGCATATTCAGCAGTCGTCTTTGGATGGGCAGCTACTGGGGGCCAATCCGCCGCCGCCGCCGCCGCCGCCGCCGCCCCCCGCTGCCAAACCACCGCCGCAGCCGCAGCCGCTGCCGCCACCGCCGCCGCCGCCGCCGCCCCCGCCGCCGCCGCCGCCGCCGCCGCCGCCGCAGCCGCCGCAGCCGCCCCCACCGCCGCCGCAGCCGCCGCAGCCGCCGTCGTCGCCGCCAAGTGTACTCTGTATTCTTTTTTGACAGGGATGGTGGTGGGGGGGGGGCCGCATCGGGTTTGCTGCGCATGTTTCGAATTTGGAGGCAGAGTGTGTTTTGTATTGTTGTTTACAAGGGAAGGTGGGTGGGGGGGGGGTGGCATGGACCCTGGTTGGCCCCCAGTCGCCTGGGGGAGGGGGTGTTTATTAATAGGGAACAGTGATAAACCCGGCCCATCCCCGAAGGGGAAGAAGGGGGTTGAGAACAGAGAGGAGGATCTAAACCACTCACGCCCTAAAGGGCTGGTGGGATTCTTGTCTGAATTCTGATTTAACTCTGATCGGTTCTGTCCCCAACCAAAGCTAAATCAGAGTTTAATCAAAGCTACAGACCAGAATTACATCAGAGTTTCAGCGAAACCAGAGAGATGAATCAGAGTTTTAGGCCAGAGCCAAAGCAGAGCTGAATCAGAGTACCATCGGAGTTTTGGCAGTCCTCGGCGGATGGCGCGGGGCGCGCTGCGCAAGTGCGCTTGTCCTCTTTCCTTGCCCATTTCCCCTCCTCCTCTCGTTCTCGTTCCTGCCTCGTCTATCCCCTCCCTCCTTCCTCCGCTTCCCTCTCCCTCCCTTTCCCTCCTCCCCCGTTCGCGTCCCTCTTCCCCCCCCCTCCCCTCCTCCTCAGTTTGTCTCCTCCCTCCTCCCGTTATCCCCGCCCTTATCCTCCACCTTCCCTTCTCCTCTTCTTCCCCCCTTGGCCTCACTAGTCCCGTTTCCTCCTTCTTCGGTCGCCGTCGCCCTCCACGTGCTGTCCCTCCTCTGCCCTCGCCCCTCCTCCGTATCGAGCGTTCGTTTTCGCTCCTCGGCCTCAGTGTCCCGCCCTCGTTCTCGTCCTCGCTTCCCCCCTCGCTCCAGGCCCCGCGCCCGGCCTCGTCTCCGCCTTCGCCCCCGCGCCCGCCCTTGCCCCCGCCCGAGGCCATTTTCTTTTCAGCCATCTTTTTCGCCTTCGCCTTCGATCCCGTCCTTGCTCTCGCCGTCGTTCCTGCCCTCGTTCCCGCCCTCGTTCCAACCTTCGTTCCCGCCCTCGTTTTCGCCTTCGCTCCCGCTGTCGTTCCCGCCCCCGTTCCCGCCTTCGCTCCCGCCCTCGTTCTCGCCCTCGTTCCTGCCCTCGTTCCCGCTTTCGTTTTCGCCCTCGTTCTCGCCCTCGCTCGCGCCCTCGTTCCCGCCCTCGTTCTCGCCCTCGTTCTCGCCCTCGTTCTCGCCCACGTTCCCGCCTTCGCTCCCGCCCCCGGTCCTGCCCTCGTTGTCGCCGTCGTTCCCGCCGTCGTTCCCGCCCGCATTCTCGCCTTCGTTTTCGCGTTCGTTCCGGGGCCGCCTGGAGGCCGCCCGGGAAACCCAAGGGCCGCCTGGGGGAATCAGATTTGAAGCAGAGTTTCGGCCAGACCTTCAGTATACTTCAAACGGACCTAGAACTAATTGAATCGCTTCGCTCATTCCGCCGGCCCGTGATATGGCATCGCTGGTTTTTGTCTGTGTGTTCGTTGCCCATGTTGCGCTCTTGGGGGCGGGTGTCGTTCGGACGCGTTGCGTGGGGAGTTTTGATGGTGAAGCAGTTCCCTGGGGGTCGTCTCTCGATGGGGCGAAATAGAGTCGTCGTCAAGATGCTTCTTTGGGGGGCCTCTTGGGGTCTGTTGAGAGGCCGTTCGGGGGCGCCTGGGAGACATGTTTGAAGCCTTCTGGGGCTTCTTTTGGGCCTCCTGGGAGTCTCCTGGGGCCTCTTGGCGACATCTTGGGGCCTCTTGGAGGCCTCTTGGGGCCTCTTTGGGACCTCCTGGGCGCCTTCTGGGACGGAGGGCTCCATTTTTGAGTTCTCGGTATCCCTCCTGAGTCCCTCTTGGGCCCGTCTTGGGGCCTCTTGGTCCGTCTTGGGCGGCACTTGGGCCGTCTTGAGGGCTCTCTTGGGTCGTTTCGGCGCCGTCTTGGGAGCTTCGTGGGCCGTCTTGGAGCGGTCTTGGGGGCCTCTTGGGCCGTCTTGGAGCGTCCGGAAGCCGAAAAAGCCAGAACACAAAAAACATAGAAAAAACAATGAAAATCAACGATTTTGGCCTCTTGGGGCTCTCTTCGGAGGCCTCTTGGAAGGCTCTTGGGGCGTCTTGGAGGCCTCTTGGGCTGTCTTGGGGGCCTTTTGGGCCGTCTTGGGGTCATCTTCGGCGTCTTCGAGCGCTCTTTGGGCGTCTCGGGGGCCTCTTGGGCAGTCTTGGGGGCCTCTTGGGGCACTCTGAGCGCGCTCTGGGGAGCCTGAGAGGCCGCACCCAGAAGGAAAACCATCTCTGAGTAGACTTGGTCGGGCGGCGACCGGGCGTTGGTCGGGGTACTTTTCGCCGGGGGACCTCCAGGGGCCGCCCCGCGCGCGCGAACTAGAAATACTGTTAATACTGTTAACCAGTTACCGGAGATCTTAGCACGCCCTGGCCCGTTGGGTCGGCGAATTTTAAACAGACCTTAGTCAGATTTTGGCCCCAAACAGACCTCAAACATACTTCAAACAGACCTTAAACATATCTCAAACATACGTCAAACAGACTTCAAACCGGGAGGTTTCCCGGAGGTTCCCCGGAGGCGCCAGGGGAATCCCCGAGGCGCCCGGAGGAATCTTTGAGGCGCCAAGCTGCGGCCCCCAGCCCTCATCCCCGCCCTCGTTCCCGCCCTCGTTCCCGCCCTCGCTCCCGCCCTCGTTACCGCCCTCGTTTTCGCCAGCGTTCTCGCCCTCGTTCTCTCCCATCGTTCCCGCCTTCGTTCCCGCCTTCGTTCCCGCCCTCGTTCCAACCTGCGTTCCCGCCCTCGTTTTCGCCTTCGCTCCCGCCGTCGCTCCCGCCCTCGTTCCCGCCGTCGCTCCCGCCCTCGTTCCCGCCCTCGTTCCCGCCCTTATTTTCGCCTTCGTTCCCGTTGTCGCTCCCGCCGTCATTCCCGCCGTCGCTCCCGCCCTCATTGCAACCTTCGTTCCCGCCCTCGTTTTCGCCTTCGCTCCCGCCGTCGCTCCCGCCCTCGTTCCCGCCGTCGCTCCCGCCCTCGTTCTCGCCCTCGTTCCCGCCCTCGTTCCCGCCCTCGTTCTCGCCCTCGCTCCCGTCGTCGCTCCCGCCGTCATTCCCGCCGTCGCTCCCGCCCTCATTATCGCCCTTGTTCCCGCCCTTGCTCCCGCCCCCGTTCGCGCCTTCGCTCCCGCCCTTGTTCTCGCCATCGTTCTCGCCCTCGTTTTCGCCCTCGTTCCCGCCCTCTTTATCTCCCTCGTTCTCGCCCTCGTTCCCGCTTTCGTCCCCGCCATCGTTCTCGCCCTCGTTTTTCGCCCTCGTTACCGCCCTCGTTCTCGCTTTCGTTCTCGCCCTTGTTCTCGCCCATCGCCCCCGCCCCCTTTTCCCGTCCCAGTTCCTTCTCTCGCCTCCGCCTTCGTTCTCGCGATCGTTCCTACCCTTGCTCCTTTGTCCCCGCCTTCGTTCTCACGACCTGCCGCTTGGCTTACGCATTATGCCTGTTGTTCTTGAAGACGCGCGCGTGCGCGGGGCCGACCTGGCAGTGTTTTGGGCCGACGCCGCGACGTTGGTTCCGGCGGGTCCAAACCAAACCAGAACCATACTTACTTGACAGTTCCCAATCATACCTAAACCAGATTTGGGCCTTAGAGCCAGAGTGATATCAGAGTTCCAGTCAGACCTAAATCGGAGTTGGTGCCGAGGGCCAGACTTGAATCAGGAGGCTTGGGCCTAAACAGAAAGCAGAGTGTGCCCCCGAAGGACACACTCAGAGCTTGTCATTTTTCTCCAGGGGACACTCGTCGTGCGCAATGCAACCAGCGTGTAGTGCGTTGTCTGCGCTCCGGCATCCAGGGTAGTCGCTGGGGCTGCATTTGTTGGGTTTGACGGACGGGCCTTCGTTATTCGCCTCGCAGTATTCGGACGAGGCTAGGACGAGGAAAAATCCGTTACATAGCTCCCCAGAGCGCTCTTTGAAGGCCGCGGCGACTGAGACATCCTCCGGAGCCGCCAGATCTCACAGATTCTCGACTTATCTTCACCCGATGTCATCCTCGTCCTGGCTTCGTCTTAAATGCGGCCGTCAATTTATCCGTCGAGTGGATGCCTTCAGCGGGCCTGGTCACCATACCTCGGCCATGGGGCGGCGCCGCTGCGCCCGCTTCGTCAGCGGATACCGTCTCGTCCTCGAGGCCGTCGTCCTTGCTCCGTCGTTTGGCGGCAGCGAATAGCCCACGTGCGACTGCCATGCATATCCGGCCGCCGATTCTACATGGGAAGGTCGGGCGCTTTGAGACAGGATCAGTGCAAACGAGGGTCAGCCAGAGCGCAGGATTTTCCCGGACTAGCGTGCGGGATCCTGCAGGATCTTTCCCAGGTTTGATGTCCTCGGTTATCTAGGCCTCCTAGATGGGGTCGGAGTCGATGGGGTCGGATTGCCGATGCATGGCCGACGCGGGTCCATGTGCAGCCCGATTTGCTTCACGTCGGCGTCGCCAATCCGTTTCCGACGTCGACGATGCATCGCCGGTGCATCGTCGATGCATCGCCGATGCATCGGCGATGCCGCGCGATCCTCCGACCCCATCTACTCCGACCCCATCTGGGAGGCATCTAGGTCTCGCTCGCCAGTTTGACGCCCAACGTGGTCGACGTGGCCAGCCGTGGTTTGGCTGTTAAGATTCTCTGGCTTTGACGAACGCTTTCGACGCGCGTCGCATAACATGGGACGGTCAGGGGCAATGTCGGGGGGGATAGGTCAGGGCGGGACGCATCGACCCCCAATCGCCCGTTGATCGCCGATAGGGGGTCTGCCAGCTCCACCCCACCCAGGAACGTGCGGTTTCGCTATCGGGGGCCCATCGCCGATTTGTCTGCGATGCATCGCCGCTTCCAGCTCCTCATGGTTCCCCCCTCTGGTGGTTGTCGGGCTGTAACTCGGGCCTCCGGCAGCCGTTCGCGACGATCCGGGCACCCCCGAAACGCTTCCGGCGAGGCTCAGCTGCTGAAGCGAACCCCGAGGCAAGACAACCTCCAGGAACGACGCAAGCGTGAGCAAACCCGTCTGGCGACGCGCCGAAAACCTGTCCGAAAACCCGTCCAGACGCCCCGTCCTGTCGTCCCACAGTATCGTTTCCTTTCAGGGGGAGGGGGGGGGTGGAGCGGCTGCAGGCAGGCGAGGGATGTGCAGCACGAGGCCGCTTCGCCGGCGGACCGCTTCGCCACCAGATTTCGTTGGCCGGCGGGCGGCGACACTGGGCGGGGCCAGGACGAGGGCAAGTCCGTTCCAGAGCGTTCCACAACGCTTTCACAGCGTTCCAGAAGGCTCTGGGAGGGCCGCGGCGCCCGAGACATCCCCCAGAGCTGCCCGATCTCAGAGATTCTCGATTCATTTTCACCCAAGTTTGTCATCGTTCTGGTTCCGTCTTAGTACACGCCACTTGGGACCGTTTTCGGGCCGCTTGGGGCATCTTGGAGGCCTCTTGGCGCCGTCACGTCTGGGTGCGGCCCGCTTGCCCTCTCCCCGACGACACACGCCGGTCTTTATAATATCGAGGTCGGTTCGGGGAGGGTATCCTCATGTTCTTCGTGCTTGGTGGATTCGAAGGACACAAAGCGGCATACACATGAACTGTTGGCGGTCCGCGCGTAGTTCTTGGATTTGGGCTGGGACACCCTGGCGGCGCCTCCAGCGCCGCCTCTTGCGCGCTGCGCGCGCCAGGGATGGGGGTCCAGGTCAGATCCAGGAAATCCGCGCGGACCGTCAAATGTGTATGTTTTTGTTGCCTTTTCTCCCTCGATGGATGCTCTTGTGCATCCTGTGAAGGGTACCCTTGGATGTTCTGTGTGTTTTGGCCGACGGAGGGTCTCATGTTCTTGAAGGATGTTCTTATGTCCCAGGTCCGACTGTAGTTCTGGACTCCCAGCTCCCAATCTACTTCAGTCGCCCTCCTAGTTCAAGACTCAGTAGGCTGTTGCTGTTTCCGATCATTCTTCGAACTGGCCCGAACCCAATCTACTTCCTCCCGCCTTCCTATTTCATGTTTCTACCCTCTTCTTCCGACTGGCGGTCAATAATCCTCGGCAGTAGCGTTATTGTATTGTGTCGCCGCAGGTATTGATCGGTGAGTTTGATGGTTTGCTGTGTTGGGCATGCGTATGTAGTGGCCACGGCCGTCACGAGAATGGCGCATCGAGACCTCGTCGCCCCCTCTTCCCCACATCATGTGTTCGACGTCTATGCTGCTGTATGTGACATTCCGTTGGTCTGTGATGCCATGCGTGCAGATGGTCGGCAACCTGATGAAGCAAGGCGTGGGCTTTCTTCTGCACGTGTCTGCTGCCAATCTGAAGCAGACGGGTTGCGCGATACTCGCTGATGTCCTGGCGTCCCAGAGTTTTTTTAATTCAGAGCCTCGTGATCACTGCAGTGTTGCAGATATAGCACTTGGCACTTGGGCGCCCCTTGGGGGATTCGCCAGGGGTTAGCATACAGCGGCAAAGAAGCAGAGAGGATCTCACTCGCACTCGGATTCGCACATGTGCATTCGGGTTTGCACATTGCGGATCTCACGCTCTCGTGCTCACAGAGGCACGTGTCATAAAACGGGATGCGCAGATGGGGACCCCCCGCGTCGAACAATTATTCGTGCAGCTGCCCGGTTTCGCACCACTGTTCTATCGGCAAAGTGCTTCGCGTTGCGCTGAAGTCATGTATATGACATCCCTTCGAGCTCATTCAGTGTCAGGTCATCCCAGTTTCCTGTTCATCGGTGTGCCTCCTGCCCTCCTTGTCTTGCGTCCCGATTCTTTTACGCCGTAGAATTCTCTAACGAAATGTGCAGGTCAACTTCAAACTGCGAAGCGCACGTCATGCATTGTGTGTGCACACCGTGTTAGATCGCATTACGCGTCAGGTGTTGTAGGATTGAACGTAAGCAGCACTTGGACACAACATTTGCAGCCTTCATTCACAGTGGAAGTGAGGGCCCATGGTTCAGTTTCAAACAGTAGTAAGCTATGGGTGGCACTCGATATGGTAGCTTGTCCTGGTTGACCAATTGTGCAAGCTCGTTGGAGGAGGTGGTTCAAATATAGTTCCAGGCGTAGCTATGGAGAAACCATCGGTCGATCTCTGGCACCGCGTTGGTCAGCCTGTCCTAGCCCTCGAGCCACATGATTGAGTTTACCATTATTCCTCGTCCTTATCCCGGCGTGTTTCGTCCGAGCACCGTTGCCGCCGCATTCTGTCCAACCTCTGCATGGTTTGCCTTCCGTGCTCCTCATCCCTGCATGCGGACTGCCTGGCACCGCTTCGCGTATATGGCATTGTGTGTTGCGGTGGAAGATTATTTTGGCGAAGGACCCAACTATATGCAGTTGTGAGTAACGCGTTGTGGGTGCCGCTTTCGATGGAGCCCCCTACGGGGCCACGAAACGCGTGAGGGACGTGCTGTAATGGGTGGGGAGACGCATGCTGGCGGTGCCGCTGGGGCCTTCGATGGGGTTCCTTATGGGCCACGAAACGCTGTACTGGGTGTGGCGGACGCATGCGGGCGGTGCCCCTCGCTGGAGCTCCCGATGCGGCCACGAAACGTTGTACTGTTTGGGGGGACGCATGCGGGTGGTGCCACTGGGGTCTGTCTGTGGAGCTCCTTGCGGGACCACGGAACGCTGTGCTGGGTGGTGGCTGACGCATGCAGGCGGTCTCACTGGGACATTCGGTGGAGTTCCCTATGGGGTCACGCAGCGCTGCACTGAGAGAGGGGACGCATGCGGGCGGTGCCACTGGGGCCTTCGATGGAGCTCCTTATGGGACCACGAAGCGCTGTACTGGTTGGGGGGTCGCATGCGGGCGGACCACTGGACCTCCCGATGCGGCCACGAAGCGCTGTACTGGGTGGTGGCTGACGCATGCGGGCGGTGCCACTGGGTCCTTCGGTGGAGCTCCCAATCAGTGGGGCCGCGGAATGCAGAACTGAGTTGTGGACGACGCATGCGGGCGGTGCCACTGGGGTCTTTCAGTGCAGCTCCCTGAGGGGCCACGAAACGCAGTATTGCGTGGTGGCTGACGCACGCGGGCGCTTCCACTGGGACCTTTGGTGGGGCTTCTTATGGGGCCACGAAGCGCTGTACTGGGTGGTGGCTGACGCATGCGGGCGGTGCCACTGGGGCCTTCAGATGAGCCCCCTATGGGGCCACGAAGCGCCGTAGTGAGTGGTGGCAGACGCATGCGAGCGGTCCCGCTAGGACCTTCGGTGAAGCTTCCTATGAGACCACGACGCGCTGTACTGGGTGGTGGCTGACGCATCCGCGCGGTGCCACTGGGGCCTCTGGCGGATCTCCTTACGGAGCCACGACGCGCTGTACGTGGTGGTGGTTGACGCCCACTGGGACCTTCGGTGGCGCTCCATATGGGACCACGAAGCGCTGTACTGGGTGGTGGCTGACGCATGCGGGCGGTGCCACTTGGGCCGTCTGTGGAGCTTCCTATGGGGCAACGAAACGCTGTGGTGGCTGACGCATGCGGGCGGTCCCACTGGGACCTTCGGTTGAGTCCCCTATGGGGCCACGACGCGCCGAAGTGGGTGGTGGCAGGCGCATGCGGGTGGTGCCACTGGGACCTTCGGTTGAGTCCCCTATGGGGCCACGACGCGCCGAAGTGGGTGGTGGCAGGCGCATGCGGGTGGTGCCACTTGGGCCGTCGGTGGAGCTCCCTATGGGGTCATGAACCGTGCTGTACTGTGTGGTGGTTGACGCATGCGGGCGGTCTCTCTGGGAGATTCGATGGAGCTCCCTGTGGGGCCACGAAACACTGTACTGGTTGGTGGCTGACGCAAGGGGCGGCGCCACTGGAGCCTTCGGTTGAGCCCCCTATGGGGCCACGACGCGCCGTAGTGGGTGGTGACTGGCGCATGCGGGCGGTCCCACTGAGATCTTCAGTGAAGCTCCCCGTGGGGCAACGAAACGCTGTACTGGGTGGTGGCTGGCGCATGCGGGCGGTCCCACTGGGGCCTTCGGTGGAGCTTCCTATGGGGCCACGAAGCGTGTGATGGGTGTGCCAAAGTGAAGGGGGGTGACGGGAGAAGGGAGGAAGAGGAGGAGGAGCAGGAGGAGGAGGACGACGACGACGAGGAAGAGGAGGAGGATGAGGAGGAGAAGGAGGAGGAGGAGGAGGAGAAGGAGAAGGAGGAGGAGGAGGAGGAGGAAGAGGAAGACGAGGAGGAGGAGGAGAAGAAGACGAGGAGGAGGAAGAGGAGGAAGAGGAGGAGGAGGAGGGAGAGGAGGAGGAGGAAGATGAGGAGGAGGAGGAGGGGGAGGAGGAGGAGGAGGAGGAGGAGGAGGAGGAGCAACACGGGGACCGTCTCTTCAAAACGAGGGCCCAACACCATAGGATGGTTGGGAAAAAGTCGTCCGAGCGTGCCTCGGACACGAAGACGCACGTTACGTACTCGATCGATCGATCGCAAACATTCAGTTCACGCGCTGGAAACCGCCGAAGAAAGCCAAAGACCGTCAGATGACCGCCGAAGACCTCCAGAGACCCGCCGAAGACCGCTCAGGGCTGGTGGGTAACAAGTGGTCCATGGGCGATTACGTAGCGCACGCCGAAGCCTGATTGCCTTGTGCAGCGGTCGCGTGTTGGTTGCTTGTCAGCCAGCTTGAGCGCGCTCCGCTGAGCGGCAGCCAGCGTGATGTCGTATGCTCTACCGCCCGATCACACCACAGTTGGAGGGCACTTATCTCTCCTTTGCTCGCGCCCCCTCCTCTGATTTACCCCATTCCTGGCACGCCCCTGGCACTCGCCGTGTCTCCTCTTCCACCCCCCCTCCTGCGAGGTGTGCTGGACAGTTCGAGCGCGGACTTGCTTATGCAGATCCCGGAACAGCGGGCCCAGGACTCATGCGTTGTGGGGGGTGCGATCACATAAAATGATTTAGCGGGTGTTTGAGCGTCGGTCCCATCGACCCTCATCCTGTCACCCAGCAGTCACCTTGGCTCTAGAGTTTTTCGGTGCAGTCCTTGCTCGGGGTTTTTCTGGCCACGCTGGATCTTGAAGGACCAGCCAGGCCCGCCGCCATACTGGTCGAGGGGGCGGGGTTCGACGCGCGACGACGAGCCCGCCATTCCTTCCTGCGGCGCCTCCTGCTCTGACGCCGGTCCAGGTGACCTGCCCCGAGGGACTGCCGAGCGTGGGGCTCCTGGCATCGTGCGGCGCACGGGCCCCCAGCTGGTGGCTTCGAGGCCGACAGCAGGTGGCAGCGCAACGATTTCACGTGGCGCCGACATCGTCGAGCGGATGTCGTTCGGAAAATGATAGGATGGGCCCGGACTCCTGGAGAATTGAGGTGGATTTCGTGCGGATTTTGTTTGGCCAGGGATGAAGGCTACAAACAATCCGCGCGACGTAACCTCGTTTTTTCGCTCGCCGTTTTGGGGCTTTGCATTGGCAGGGTCCCACGCCAAACATCCGCGGCAACACGTCTGCAAGGTCGTTGCAGTAAGAGTTCTACATCGTCGTCTGGACAGTGACGGTCGTCTTTGGCGTGCAGGTGTCTCTAGTGCTGCTCGTGAGGTGCTGGCTCCCTTGCCGGTCGGGTAATCCGGATGTCCCTCGGCGTTCTCCGTCGAGCCCGCCCAGGGGACCACAAAAAGGCGGTTTCTGGTGCAGGAAATTTCGAATTGTTTGTCGCGTGGGCACCTTCTGCACGTCAAGTATCGTGGGGGGGACTTTTGGCATGAGCGTGTGGGTGGGGCCTAGGCTCCCCAACCGTGCTGGTGATATCTTCTTTTGGTAGGTGGGCTCTCACGCCTGATGCGGATCACTACGAGGAGAACGTGGCCATGGAGGCCGTCGAGGGCGAAAACTTTGTCGTGTAGTGGGAAATACCCCACCGCATCTTCGAGGTCGATTCCACCGTTTCGCATCGCAGGCGACGCCTACCCGACGGCCGACGGGATCCGCAACGAGGCCAGGCCGCCGTCTCTCGGCTGCGGGCCGCGGGCCAGGAACCGCCAGCTCTCACCCGCCTCGTGAGCGCGGGGGGCGAGCTGGCGCCGCTGGCGAGCCGCGGTGCTCCTGGCCCCCCCGCCGTGGGCGGAACGCGCGCCCTTCTTTGCGGTAGTTGCGGACACGCCTTCGCCCGCCCTCGCCACGCTCGGAGCCCCCCCTTGGCGATGGCGCGCTCCGCGCGGCAGCGTCGGCAACCCCTTGGCTCGCAACCCTGGCCGAGCGGCAGTCGCCGCAGGGCGGCTTGGCGTGGCCATTCACCGAGAACGCGGAGGGCTTCGAGACGCTGGGCATAGAGGTCGCCATTTCGCGAGGGGGGCATCGCCGCGACGGCCGCGGACGGTGTGGTGCATCGCGCGCAGGCCGTCGACAGCTCGGACTACGTCTAGTTCGCCCGTGGCCTCAAGGACCGACGCGAGCCCCGCGCCCCCTCTCGGCGCTGAAACCCTGCGGCCGTCGTTTGATGCCGACCCGGGGCCTCTAGGAACCCTCCGTCTCGCGGGGCGCGCCGAGCGATGCGGCGGCGATCTTCGGCGGCGGCGGCAGGGGCTCGCGCGCGCCAACAACGTCATCGAGACGGGCTGGGTGCGCCACGAGATGACGACGATCGCTGGGAGTTTCGAGCTGTTCGGCGATGTCGACCAGCTCAACCTCGGAGCATCGGCGGGCGTCGAGAAGATGGTACGTCGGATGCTCGGGGCGATCGACGCCTTCTCCGCTGGCGGTGGCGCTCCGTCTTGGCGCGCGGCATCCGTCTACGAGGGCGCGGCGCACTGCGGCGACGCCATCGCGCCCGCCGCGCGAGTGGGGCATCAACCAGCTGAAGGACCACAACGAGATCGAGACGACTCGGGCGCGCCAGTTGCGGGCCGCAGGTCGTTCAGACGGCGAAGGCGCCCAGGCGGGCGCCGACGGCGGCCGCGGCGGTGGCTTCCAGGGGGGCGGTGGGACTGGTCGCGCTGGGCGGCGCGCTAAGGGCGGCCACGCCACCCCGAAGATTGAGTGAGCAGGGCGGCGGACAACGGTCAGGCCCCCCGCGCCATGGCCCGCTGAAGTCGGGGGATGTTCGGGCGCCTGGTAGCCCCGAGCTTATGGGGCACTTCCCGCTCGCCGCTCCCAGGCGAGAGCTCGCGCCTGCCGCTGGCGGTCGACGTGCTGATCGCTATCGGGGGCGTGATCGCGCGCGACAGCTGGTGGAGCGCGCTTCTTGCTCGGCAGCTGATGCGCGGTGCGTTTTTCATCAAATGGGCGTTCCCTCGCGGCGTTCAGGGTGCTTTGGCTTGCCCTCGGCACGCGCCGGCGACGCGGGTGTCGCGAAGACCCTGGACGGCAATGTCGGACATGATGATTGCATCACTCCGATGACGCGCCCCTCGCCTACGGTTTTTTTCCGGGAGCTTGGCTTCGACGCCGGGCGCCGACGAGGAGGTGGCCAGCATGGTTTTGCATCGCGCCGTGCGCCTGCGTGATCGGGGGCAGCCCTCAGTCCTCATCTTGCGCGGCGAGCGCGCCTCCAGCGCGAGGCGCTGCGCCCGCGCGGGCGACGTCGGCGCGTTCGGCTCCGCCCGCAGGGCCGCGGCATTCAAGCCCGGCGACGCGCGCGCAGTCTCCGTGGCGAGAAGCCTCTCCTCGTGCGAAGCTTCCGCCTCCAACTCGGGCGCGGGGGCTTTTTTGACGGGCGCGTTCGAGCGACGTGCGCGACGGCAGGCGCCCCGGGGGGGCGCCCGTCTTAGTGGGGCAAGTTTGGCAGCTGCGCGATGCGGCGCGCAGCCGCGGCGCCGAATCCTGCCGCGTTGCCCCCGACGCAGCGCGGGCTGCCCTGTGGCAGCAGCGCCTGCCCCCGCGGCGGCAGGCGGGGCGGAGGCGCTTCGGGTTGCGCTCGACGCTGGGCGTCGGCGCGCGTGGCTGACTGCCGCGCGCCGCTGTCGAGTCCAGGGGGGCGCCCGTCGCCCTCGCGGGGCGTCGCCGCGTCTTGGGCCGACGGGTAGGGGCCGTGATCGGACATGCTCCCTTCGGCGCCTTGGCCCGACGGGAGACCCTGGCGGCGCTCGCGGCAGTCTGATCGTGCATCAGGAAGCACTTCGACCGGCGCTAGCCGATCTGGGCGCCGGTCGCCGACGAGCTGCGCGTCTGCGCGAATCTCACGACCATGCTGGCGTCAAACTGGGCGCGGAATTGGAGCCCGCTCGCGGTGGCGCGGTGGCGACGGGCGCCTCCGAGTGGGGCGATAGCATGTGCTTGCGTTGGTTTGACCCTGAGGACGCCGCCCCCGCTGGCCGCTTCTGAGAGCGGGACCGTTACCTGAGCGCCGACCACGCGGCCGCTCGGGCATCTGCCCTCGGCGGCGCCGCCGGCGAGCGGCTCGGCGGCGTGGAGATAGCCGACACCCTGGCCGTTTTGCTTGGGCCGCGATGATCTGCAGCCCGACCCCGCCATTTTACTAGGTCGCCAACTTCATGACTGAGGAGGCGCCTTGGCCTGTGGCCGTGGGCTGGAAGCATGGCCAGGTCGAGGGCATCATGGCGCTAAAAGCACGCGCCCTTGCGTGGGGCCTGGAGAGCGTGACCCGCACGCCTTCCCGGTTGAACATTCGGTAGGTGTTTTTTTTGCCGAAAACATCGTCTTCGTGTTCTCAGTTTGTAGGTGGCGATGTCGGAAATTCAGGATATGAGGCATCCTGAGGAGGGTCCTTTTCGGATCCCGGTCGCTTCGACCAACGAGTGTAGTAGAGTGAGCCATTCCCCGCGAAACAGAAACAAGGGTAAGTCGTATGGGGGTGCGTGCACTTGAATGACTTAGCGGGGATTTGGGCGTCGGCCGTATCGATATTCATCGTGCATCTTCAGGGCGCGCATTGGGCCGGAGGCGAGGCGACGCCTTCGGATCCGAGCCGCTTGGGTCAGCGAGTGTAGTTGAGAGAACCGTCCCCCGCGAAAAACAAATGTAAGTCACCCCTGTCGTTTCGGACAAGCCGCGCCGCAGTGCACATCTTGCTGTCAAGCTTACGTGCGTTCACGCCAGCTCAGACGCGCTCGCGCCTAGCCGAGTCGAACGTGGCCACGTCGCGCAGCAACGCAGCCGCACGCGGTCTGATCTCGACTCCACATCGTGAGCGTCGCTGGCGCTGCACGAGGCGTCGCCGTTCAGAACGAAATAGTGAGGGAGGACAAATACTGGTGGCGAATTGAACGGGGAGAAGGAGGAGGAGAAGGAGGAGGAGGAAGAGGAAAAGGAGGAGGAAGAGGAGGAAGAGGAAAAGGAGGAGGAGGAGGAGGAGGAGTTGGAGAAAGAGACGGAGGAGGAGGAGGGGAATGATATGGGCGGGGGAGGGAACCGAAAGGGGTTGGATGGGGGGCGCTCATTCGACCCCCTGCCAGCACACTGCGCATGGCTGTTTTTTCTGTGTACCTGTTTTTGGGGTTCCGTCTGTGGGAACCCCCTTGGTGCAGAAGTCGGTTCGAGAGAAATGAAAGAATTCTCTCGTATCGTCTTCCTCCCCCCGCTCCCTTTCCACAGTCAAGCAATGTGAATATTCCTTTCCTCTCTCCCCTGGTGGCGTCCGGGGAATGGCCGGCCCCTCTCCACGTATTTTTGTTACACTGGATTTCCTGGAAACGGTTTTTTTTTCCGAAATGCTGCTCTCGCTGGCGTTGGCTTCATTTTCGGGCTACCGCTCGTTCCGAAGCGTGCTCCCGCTGTAACGTTGGCCTCATTTCCGCGCTTCCGTTCGTTCCGAAGCGTGCTCCCGCTACAGCGGTGGCGTCATTATTTCCAGCGCCATGCGTCATTATTTCCAGCGCCATGCCACGGCATGGTTTTGGACCCCTCCAAATAGGCCCCCAAATCAAAAAAATGCCCCCCCGAAAAACCATCGGAAGTGATTACACATTCGGTGCCGATTCGTTCATTCTTTGCACCGCAGAAGCGCCCCCTCCACTTTGGGGCGTCACCACGCCATGCTATGTCAGGATAGGCGTCCTCATTTCCGCGCTTCCGCGTTTTTGATTTGGTTGTTTTGTGTTCAGAATGCTGCTCTCGCTGGAGCGCTGGCCTCATTTTCGGGCTACCGCTCGTTCCGAAGCGTGTTCCCGCTGTAACGCTGGCCTCATTTCCGCGCTTCCGTTCGTTCCGAATCGTGCTCCCGCTGCAGCGGTGGCGTCATCATCTCCAGCGCCATGCCGCGGCATGGTTTCCGACCCTTCCAAATGGACCGCAAATCTGGAAAATGCCCCCCCGAAAAATGCACATTCGGTGTCGATTCGTTCATGTTTTGCATCGCAGAAGCGCCCCCCCCCCCCCACATTGGGGCGTCACCACGCCATGCTATGTCAGGCTACGCGTCCTCCTTTCCGCGCTTGATGTTTGTTCGAAATGCTGCTCTCGCTGAAGCGCTGGCCTCATTTTCGGGCTACCGCTCGTCCCGAATTGTGCTCTCGCTTCAGCGCTGGCCTCATTTCCGCGCTTCCGGTCGTTCCGAAGCGTGCTCCCGCTACAGCTGTGGCGTCATTATTTCCAGCGCCATGCCACGGCATGGTATGTCATGCCACGCGGTAGTCTTCAACACCATGCTATGCCATGTAGTGCTGCGCCATGCTAAGACATCCGATTGTCCGAATAGGGAGGAGATCTGCGCAATGGTAGGGGATAGGAGGGAGGGATAGGACGCCAGGAATGACGCGCGCGCACCGAGCTTGTCGTCCCCCTCCTCTTCCTCCTCCTCCTCGTCCTCCTCCTCCTCCTCCTCCTACTCCTTCTCCTCCTCCTCCTCCTCCTCCTCCTCCTCCCCCACTAACCCTTCCCCCTCCTCCTCTTCCTCCTCCTCCTACTCGTTCTCCTCCTCTTCCTCCTTTTCCTTCTCCTTCGCCTCCTCTTCCTCCTCCTTTTCCTCCTCCTCCTCCTCCTGCTCCTCCTCCTCCCTCCACCCGCCACTTCTTCTTGACCAAGGGGGCCTGTGTGCCCCCCCGTAGGTCAAGAAGTTGTGGAGAGAAGGAATGAGGACGGCTTGCCGAGGCTCAATAGCTTGGGCAGTGGATCCTCGATCCTGCGTCCCTGCCTGGGCAGGCCGGGGAGGGCAGGGGACAAGAAGCGGGGATGGAGGGGAGCGGAGAGCTCCCAGCAATGCGCACAAGAGTGTCGTGGGTGATTGCGCTCCCATGCGCACCACGTTCGACAACGCGTCGACGCTCTCGCCGAAAGTGTGATGTCCTGGGCGCTCCCCATGCCTTCGGCGAATTGTTTGCTTCAATCTCAGCGTTTCTCTCCGATTTCATCTCCGGGCGGCGTTCCCAGAGCCCAGGGCGATAGAAGCGGATCCGAGACGAACCATTTCCCTTGGGGAAGGGGTAGAGAATTTGGCGAATCGCAGGAACAACTCGCCTGAGGTATGGGGAGGCATATCGCTGGGATATTGCTGCTGGGTCGCCAGGGGCGGGCCTCAGGGCCTCATAGCTATGGCCTGGCCTGGCCTGGCTCGATCGGGAGGCCTACTTTGATCGCGCGCTTGTTGGCCAAAACGCTGACGACTTCACGACGACGAGGACGCCTCACCATCATCATGGCAAATCTCACGACGACGGCGATGGCAATGTGTACAGTGATGAGACGGACGACTGCCCACGCGATCATTTTTCACTGGCCTGGTTTCTGGCCGTTGGGTGTGGACCCTCGCCACCCTCGGGCTCGGCAGTGCCACGGTGGCATCAAGGGAGGGCCGTGCAATTTCGGAGCTCCCAGTGCCCAGAACCACCATCTCCCCCTCCTCGACCCCGAAGAGCAGAGAAGAACGGGAGGAGAAGGCGGAGGAGGAGGAGGAGGTCAGCAGAGATCTCCGGAGTCCAGAGGTTCTGCAGGGAAAGGAAATGCGGTCGAGACGAAGGTTGTTGTCGCGGAAATGCGTATTGATGGTCTCCCTTTGCCAGCGAATTTGCAGGAGCCGGGAGAGGGAGAGAGACGGAGGGAGAGAGGGAGAGAAATAGAGAGAGAGAGAGAGAGAACAAAAAAAAAACACCCAGACATCCGCAGGAGATCCTGAGTGGGCTGGGCCCCGACGTCAGGAACCCCTCCGCGTGGGTGACAAGAAAGATAAAGGAGATCATGACGGGCGGCGGCGGAATGATGGGGAACTCCATGATGCAGGGCGGCGGCATGATGCAGATGGGCATGGGAGGCTGCGGCATGGGCATGAGCGGCATGGGTATGGGCGGCAAGGGCTTCATGAACCAGGGCGTCGTGCAGGCCACGTCAGCGAGATAGCGTGCGCCGCATCGAAGCATCTAGCGTAGTCAATTCTCGGAAGATGTGCCTCCTCGGCACACATTTTTGAGTTGTCTTCTCGTGCTTGAGCCGTTTGAGTGTCGTGGACGTCGGAGGTCGGAGGTGTCTGCGCGTGAGACGCCAGGTTAAAGTTGACGTCTGCTGCATGCAAGCGGGCTTCCCGTACGCCAATGTTGCGATGCGCCGCTTGACTCGTCTCACACATTCGCTTGACAGCGTTCAAGGGTGTTCGATCATCAGTTAGACCAGTCTCGGTGAGAACGAACTCGTACTGTGCACCAAACAACAATGTGAGTTGAGTGACCACATCGCGCATCGCAGCGGTGCAGTTATGCCGAGGTGGTGGTTCATGTCTGTGATTGCCGCTTAAACAGTGTACATCTACTGTAGCAGTATACATATGCACTCAGATGCACACGCAACCGTTCATCATACGTGCATATATATATATATATATGTACACATATCTATACATGTATGTATACACACATATATGTGTATATGTATGTATATATATATATATATATATATATATATATATATATATATATCGGAGTAGGCTGGGAGGGGCGGGCCGGTGCCCGTAACCCCCCATGGGGGGATTGGGGGGTCCCCGGGCTCCCGGGATTGCCCGGGCCCGCTCCCAAATACGCCACGACATGCCAAGACGACCCTAAAGATTGCCAAGATAGCCCCCAGAGGCCCCACAACAAGAACCCAAGACATCCAAAGTCCTCCAAGGCGCTTCAAATGGGTCCCAGGACGGCCCGATAGGGCGTGAAGTGGCCTCAAAAGGCCTCATGAGGACACGCAAGAAGGGTTGGAGACGCTAAATGCATAAATGCTCGTCCGTTTCGTATGTTGCGTTACGTAACGAGTTCCAAACCAAGGATCCTCAGTGCGGACGGCGCTGCGAGCTCAAGGCGGCCAACAGAGATTTCCGAGACGCCGAAAAGACAGCTCCCAGGCGGCCCAGTGGTTGCTGCAACTGCTATTGATGCTCCTGCCTCCTCATCTCCCTCCCCGTTCCCGTCCTGCACCTCCTCGGACAAAATAGCGTCGCTTCGAGATGCGTCCAGCCGCGGCGACGACGAGAGCGCCCGAAGACAAAACCGCCTCGGACCTCGATCCTCGCCCGGGGGGCCGTTTTTTGGTACCCCCTCCCCGCGGCCTCCAAGAGGCCTCCAGTCGGCCCAAGAGGATTCAAGTATAGCCTAAGATACCCCCAAGACCGCCTAAGAGGAACCAAACTTAGCCGAAGACGGCCCAAAAGTGCACCAAGAGTGCTCAGGATGGCCTGCCTCGGCAAGGCTCGCGAGGTCCCCATGACATCCTAGGAAAGCATCCGGCGGGCCCCAAAGAGGCCTTGATGAGGTCAAACACAATCATGTTCTAGATGTGTGTTGAAGGATTTTTTTTGTTTTCGCTTTTCATGGCTTCCGGCCGCCCAAGACCTAATACGGCCCGAAGACAGCCCGAGAACGCCCCAGACAGGCCCCAAAACGGCCCCAAGAGACTTCCAAGATGACCATGCAAGCCCCCAATAGGGTTCCACAACGGCATCTCCAGCATGCGTCCGTCCAACAGGGTCGAAGGCTGGAGGTTGCTCGAAAGCTCTTCATTAATGGATGCGAAGTAATCGAACTTGAGGCCCTGCTGGTGCGACCAGGAGGATTTTTGTTGCACGTGCTCCGCCAGCAGGCGTGACAGCGCATGAACTCAATGTCAAGGCTGCGTTTCCTCCTTCCTCCGTCGTTCCTCTATTCCTGCAAGTGCTCCGAAAACCTGGCGTGACAGCGCGTGCAGTATGTATCAGGAGGGGAACAACACACAGACACTATTAATCGTCGATTCCCCAGAACATCTGGGAAAATATGGGAAGTGGGCGGGAAGACAGAAACCCAGACAGTATGGGAAAATATGGGGAATATTTTTATTTGTGTGTATTTATTTGTGTGTCCCTGGGCCCCTTCAATGTATCAAGGCAGTTTGCTTTGCGCTCTTTGACATTATTCGTTTCTTCTGCACGTGCTCCGCCAGCTGGCGTGGTAGCGCATGCATGGTTATTTCAAGGCAGTTGTTGTCCCGTCCTCCGTCATTCGTCGCCCCTCCCGCACGTGCTCGGCCAGACAGGCGAAGAAAGTGTGACGACATCCAAAGACAAGCAAACTTCAGCCCCGACATTCCATCAGATATCCAGTCACAGGAGTCAATGCACCAAGGCTGTTCAGCGATCTCGCCGACGAACCAGCAAGCCAAGATTGGCGTGTCGCGACAACGATCTGGCAATCATGGACGGCGCCATTGGGGCCAGAGATATCTGCCCCCCCCCAAGACAGCGCCGGAACAGCCCGAAAGCCAGCCAGTCCAAGGATGCTCTGCGACATCCTATAACCGGCCCACGACGGTCGCAACCCTTCTCCGAAAGCGAGTCGGCCCTTGCTAGAACCCAAGCGCGCTCGAAACGCGCGCGTGGCTCTAGTCTGAATAAGACTGTGTTTCTGTACGATCTGTATATATATAGATCTATATAGATCGATAGGTGTGTGGATATATGCGTAAGCGCACACGTGTGTATACATGTATATCTACACATACAGTACACTTGCGCATCTCAAGTGGCCTTCGGGCAAACTCGCTACCGTGCCTTGGTCGGTCTCTGGGGAGACTTCTCAGAGGTCTCTTGGATGCCTCTTGCGAGTCTCTTGAGGGGCCTCTTGGATGGCTCTTGGGGCCTCGTGGGGGGGGTCATGTGGGCCTCCGAGGGGCTTACCGGCGCTTGCGGAGGCCATTTTGGGCAGGCTCGGAATGTTACAGCTCGAGTTCCCCCTCGCGGGGCCGTCTCCTGGGGCCGTCGGGAGCCGTCTCGGAGCGATGAGTTGTGACCTCTGAGAAGCTCGTCGAGAAGCCGACTACGCCAGACGGTGTGCTGCTTGCGCACCAGAGAACACGGGCTCGAGAGATTTGGGGAGCGCCTAGGTCGGCCCGCAGGGCCGTCCAGGACGGGCACCGAAAGACGCACCCGAGAGAGGCTCTCCAGGAGGGGCCCCGAGAATGCCTTACTGGCCAGGTTGGGGGTTGGACTCTCCCAGGCCCAGACATGATCGCGTCGTAAAAAGAGCAGGACGGTTGGTTTTTGGCTGTTTTCTGCCCCGGGGGCCCTTGCCGGGCCTCGGGACCGTCAGAAAACGACTCAGCACGAGAAACCCGTCCAGGGGAAGGTGTCGGGACTTCCAGGGACACCGTCCTGGAAAGATCAGGACGTCGCATGCTTTGGACTCGGAGCCGCCTGGTGGGCGTGCGCGGGGCTAACCTTCGGAGGTTCAAAGCTGGGATCCCATCCTCCCTCTCGTCGTCTCCCCTGCACCCCCCCACCATGCTGTTGCTGCATTGCCCCTCCCCGTTCCGCGTCCCCATGTCGCTCCTGCAGGTTCGGCACCGCTCGGGGTTGCGCTCCTAGTTGCTCGGTTCCCCACCCCGTCATTCTGCAGCGCCTTTTCCGGTGGTTCAAAGACGGGGTCTTGGGGGATGGGGTCCAAAGGACGAGGTGCCTCAAACAATGTAAATGCACCCTTGGATCCCTTCCTATCCTGCGGCCCCCATCCCTCAGGACCTCATCTTTGAACCACCAAAACCTGCGCGCGTGTGGCTGATGCGTCGCCCCTGGCGTGTATCGGCATGTGAATTCGCGTGTGCAGATGGGTACCCTATCCGACAGGCGGTGTTGTCGGATGCTCTAACTATGCATTCCACTCAATGGAGGCTGAGGTGGCCCAGCATCTGGACCCCTGCCAGCAGAAATCGTTGCGTGATACCCGATCCCGGACCAAACCTTCGGGTCGGTTTTGGAGGTCGCCGCGGCGATCGCGGTGGGCTCAGATCGATGCAAGGTTTTTGTCAAGAAGTGGCGTGCCCCTCCCCAGCACCCCCCCACGCTCTGGGATCTAGGCGTTGCTCAGTTATAGACCAGAGAGAGAGAGAGAGAGAGAGAAAGAGAGATGTCAATTCGTGTCCTACATGGGCAGCCGTGTTTTTTTGTGTTTAGTTCAGGGCCGCTTCTATTTTATAACGTAACAGCTGGACGCGGCTCTAAACATTTTTTAGTGACGACCCCAGGAGCGATTTGGGGACCGATTTTATGTGAATGTGCCACCACCTTCTTTTTTGTCAGATTTGTTCAGGGCTTATCCAGTTCAGAGCCCCCTGGCCGCCTCCAATTCCCAACCACGCTGCCGAGGCCTCCAGAAAAGTCAAACGTAACGCATCAGGGGTCACGCCAGCTGCCCCGGGAAATCCAGGAGTCGTGGCCCTGGGCGCTTCTACAGAGCGGCGTGAAGGGACACCGTGGTCTGGTTTGAGGGGCCCCAGCTGCTCCTCCTCCTCCTCCTCCTCCTCCTCCTCCTCCTCCTCCTCCTCCTCCTCTTCGTCCCCCTCCTCCTCCTCCTCCTCCCCTCTTGGTCCTCCTCCCTCTCCTCCTCCTCCTCCTCATCCTCATCCTCCTCCTCCCTCCTCCTCCTCCTCCTCCCCCTCCTCCCCCTCCCCTCCTCCTCCTCCTCCTCCTCTCCTCCTCCCCCTCCTCCTCCTCCTCCTCCTCCTCCTCCTCCCCTCCTCCTCCTCCTCCTTCTCGTCCTCCTCCTCCTCGTCCTTTCAGCGAACCCTTTCAGTGAGGGCTCTGTGCCGCGCCGACGGGGGGCGCGGCGTAGCCCGTCAGTCCGACGGCCTCAGGTGGGCCCCGAACTCGTCCTTCCCGAACTTCTTTGCGACGGGCGCGCCTCCTTTGCTCGCGAGCTGAGGGGCGCCCGACCTTCTCTTGCCGCGTGGCAGCTCGGCTGAGCTGGCGGCCCCCGTATGTTACACGGGGGGCGGGCCGTGCCCCCCTTCGGCCCGTGGGCTGGGGACGGCCTCGCCGCGGCGCACGGTGCGCCGCCTCCTTCTCTTGGCGAGAACTCCTCTATGATGTCGTGCGTGCTGAACGCCGCTTCTGAGGACCCGGCTCCTGTCCTCCTTATGGGCGGCCTCCATGCGTTCATTATCTTCAGAGCTGTTGAAGACCCTGCTCCTGTCTTCCTTTCAGCTGAAATTGAAGACCCTGCTCCTGTCCTCCTTTCAGCGGGCTGGTCAAGCCGAGGTGATGGTTGTTGTTGGTGGGTTGGAGGTTCAAGGGTTGTTTGTCTTTGTTCTGCCTCACAGCTGAGGACCCTGCTCCTGTCCTCCTTTCTGCGGGCGTGCCTGCTAGCGGTCTGTTCTGAGGACCCTGCTCCTGTCCTCCTTTTCGACGTCTCCAGGGCATGCTCGTCGAGCCTCGCTGTTGAGGACCCTGCTCCTGTCCTCCTTTCAGCGGGCTCTGTCATGTTTGCGTCGTGCCGCGCTGCTGAGGACCCTTCTCCTGTCCTCCTTTCAGCGGGCAGGTTGTATCGAGGTGGCGATGGTTGTTGGATGGATGGTGGTTGCGGGGTGGGTGGCCGGTCGGTGGTGAGTCCCAAGGGTTGAGGATGGTCGTCTTGAAGGTCTATGGGTCGGACGTGGGGGAGTCGGATTGTTGCTGGGGTTGTGGTATGGGTTATGGGCGCATTTGAAAGGCCTCCATGCACCGACTTCAAGTGGGGTTCGTGGCGGCCCCACCTCGTCCCGCTATGGCTAGGGGTCACGGTGCCCTCGGTGGGGGCGAACCCCAGGCCTGGTGCTTGCTGCTGTCGTCGGTGAGGAATGTCTCGGCTGCCCTCTGCTTCGCCGCTTGGGCGATCGGGTAAGCACCACCTTCGCCATGGGGATGGTGGGGGTGGCGAGCTAGGGCGGACCGCGGGGGCGCGGGTAGTGGCCGTCCTACCCCCCTGCCCCTCACCATCCCCCCTGGCAGGCGCGGGTAGTACTCGTCCTGCCCCCCACCCGTCGAGCCCGTCTCGAAGTTTGATCCTTGCCTCACCAGGGCAGCGTTGACTTGTGAGGTGGTGTGGTATGACGTCCTTTGGGTCGTGGATTGTAGCTGGTCGGTGGTGTTTGGCAAGAGTGGAGGGAGTGTGTAATGCGGCTCACAGGTCTCCGCTGAACTCGTGCTCGTGCGGCCGCTGCCTTCAGCAATACTACAAAACGCGGCGACTTGTGCCTGGGGTGTTCCCACGCATTCGGGGCTTCCCCAGGACTTGCGTCCTAACGCCTCTTGCGCATCTTGGCGACGCTGCCTGAGGTGTTCCCGCGCACTCGGGGCTTCCTCATGACTTGCGCCCTGACGCCCTTGAGCTTGTCGTCGATGATGCCCATCGTGGCGTTCGTCTTCGGCATGAGGCGGCGCTTCGTCTTCTCGTTCTACGTAGTAGGCGTCGCTGGTGTTCGTGTTCTGGCTGGTGGGCGCAACGGTTGCGGTTCTGAGGCCCCGTCTAGCCGCGATGTTGCCGTCGAGCAGGTCGGCGATGGCGAAGTCAATCTCCCCTTCGTTTGCCGTAGTCATACAGTTGCGGAGGTCGTCGCGGGCGCCGTTGTCGAGGATCTGCATGGCGCCGAGGTCGTAGTGATTTGTCGGGGTCTCGTGGATAGTCAACAGGTTGGCGATGTACCGATATTCGGGAGTCTGTCTGATGATCGGCTCCGCCGAGATGGCTGCGACACATGGTATGTCGGTCGTGGTCGCCATGAAGAGCATGCGCAAGACCTCTCGCGTGACGTTGTTGGCGGCGAAAATATCGTCGGCGATGGTCTCGGAGACTTGAGGCGCCCCCCAGGGTGCCTCTGGGGTGCGCCGCTTGCTTGCTCTGCTGCCTAGAACGTCGCTTGCATCGTGTAAGTACCAGGTTCGTCGTGGGAACTCTACGTAGATGGCCGCTATCTCGCCATGGAGGGTCCTGCGTTGTACTCGCCGAAGTTCTGGCGTTAGTTCTGGGGTCTGGCCATCGCTGCGGGTTGCGATCTGGGCGTAGTCCAGGCCGCTGGTGCTCGTGATCCCGTTGCTGGCCATGATCTGCTGGAGGTCGGCGGCCTGTCGAGGGCGGTCGGTGACGACGACGATCTCTTGGCGCTCGGCGGGTTCTGCAGGCGAGCTCGCGGGTGGACTGGTTGGAGATGGCTCAAGTCTGGCGAATACTTTAGGTGCGACGGGCGACGTCTCGAGGAGCGGCAGCGGCGTAACATCGCACGGGTGGGCTGGCTTGTCGCTGAAGGTTGGGTGCCGTCCTTGCTTCTTGTTGGCGTTTGTGGCCTCGGCGATGGCGGCGAGGTTCTCTGTTATTTGCTGCTCCGTCAGAGGCTCCATCGTCTGTCTGGATGCGCCAGGCATGCCAGGATTTGCGGCAGCGGTGGGCCACCGATAAGTGCTTTATGAGCCTCGGCAGAGAGTGGTGCTCGGTCTGGCAGCATCGGCACGCGGTGCCTGTCGCCCAGAAGCGCGGGTCTTCGTGGTCTGGATGATCCCTGCCCATATGGATTAACATGCCTTGTCTGGAGGCGACTCGGCCACAGCCGTGACAGACGTACTTCTGGTTGTTGTTGTCGTCGCAGAGGTCCAGGCCTTCAGTTGGGTGAGCTGCTGAGGTCATCTGGATGTCCTTCTGGAGCTTAGCGCCCTGAGCTTGGTCGCGAATGTGGAGAATGTAGGCCTTCGAAGCTGCCTTGACTGCGTTGGTGAATAGCTTCGGCTTCTGTCGGGCCCAGTTGGTGATGTCGCGGTCGTGTTGGGTTTGGCTGGGCCACCTCTCTTTTGGCAGGTGCGTTCGTAGGAAGTCGAAGTCTTTCTTAAGCTGGCGGCCCCATGTGCCCTGTCGTTGGCGCTGGCCGTCGAGTAGCTGGAGTAGGACCGCTGGGGCATGATTCAGGAGTCTTGGCAAGTATCGTAGCCGCGCTATCGACTGGTGAGTGATGAGGTCGGGTACTCCTGTCTTGGCGATTGCCTCGGCTTCGGAGATGTGCTGGTCGGGTGAGTTGGTCTTGGGTAGCGCGACTGCCACGCGGCATGGGCCTATGTACGTGGCGGATATGTGCTTCAGGTCTTTCAGGGCCAGGTCGCCCCAGACGTGGCGGTTGTATGTCAGCGAGGATGTCGAAAACGAGTGGACGTACTTCACCTTGGCTTTCTTCGAGAGCTTCTTGCGGCGGAGGATCTGCTTCTCGAGAGGCCGGGCTGCCCCGAGCGCGCGGTTTACCCTTAGGCAGATTTCTGGTCCCATGACCCCGCCCGCCGAGATGATGGTACCGAGGTTTTTCTGTTGCGTTACTAGCTGCACCTTGATAGAAAGTCCGTCCAATTCGAGGTATGTGATGCCCTCCTTGGCGACCCGCTGTTTCTCCTTCTTGTCCCCTGCGCCGTAGTGCATGAGGATGGCCTTGGTTTTTTCTGGGCGTGGCTTCAGGCCATGCTGGAACGCTGCTGCGCAGAGCCTGGCAGCTGCCAGAGCGGTCGTGTAGTCTGTGAGGTCGTCGACGAAGGACATGTTCCTGAGCGCGCTTCTTTCGTGAGGGGTAGGTGAAAAGAGAGGCTTGCTGCAGGCCTCTATCTCGTGTCCGCCTATCTGCTGGCCGTGGGCCTCTTCCTCTCGGGCTGCCTGGTCGATTGCCCTCAGCATGATGGGGAAGTGTATGTTGAAGGCGACGTCCGGGCATGGCACTCCAGGTCGGGTGCTGGTCCGAGGCAGCTGGTAGTGCCTTGCGCTCTTGGCTGTCATCCAGTTGGAGGTGTGGTGATCAGCGATCATGTGGCAGAGGTGCCCGTCGTCGATGTGTTGGTTTTTGTAGGCGGGCTGCTGAAGTCGTTCCTTTAGCGCTGGTCTGATGAAGTCGGGAATGCCGATCCGTTCGATGAGCTCGTTAAGCTCGTCGGCGGTGGTCGGCAATTGCATGCATAATTCCCTGATGACGGAGTGGAAGGCCTCCCTGAGGTCCAGGAAGGTGATGCTGCATGATCTTGATCTCCTTTGGCAGTCGCTGACGAAGGCGAGGCTGGTGTGAGTGATGAAATCCGTGGCCATCTTTGGTCGAGCGCCACACTGGGTTGCTTCTAGGAGTTCAGGCAGCAGGCCTTTCACGCGGGAGCGGAGGAAGCTGCTGTGCATCTTGCCGATGGTGTTGTTGAGCAGGATGCCGCGGTAGGATTCCTGGAGCTCCATGGCCCCCTGCCCCTTGTGGAAATACGTGGAGTCCCCACCCTTGGCGGTGATCGGCTCGGTGCTCTCGAAGTGGGTCTTGACTAGGACAGGGTGGAGCAGGCGAGCCATCCCTTCAGGGCTGGCTCTGGACATGTCGTCGGTGAGCTGGTCGGGGCCGCCTCGGCGGCCTCGCTTGGCGGCGGCGAGCTGGCTGGTCAGCTGGTGCTTGGGTAGTATGTTCTGGATCTTAGGTCCTGGCCCTTCGTGGCCGGTCCTTTTATTGTAGTCGGCTGCTACCCCGTCTGCATCCGTGGCTTTAGCCTGCTCAACTTTGCCGTAGAAGGCCAGGGCGTGGTCGGCGATCTCGCTCTTCGTCGTGAGGGGCTCCCCGTCGTCGTTGGTGCGGATGATGGGCGTCGGCGGCTTCTTGGACTTTCGTCCTCCGAAGGCTGGTAGTCGCTTCGCGTACAGGGCCTCTAAACGGGGGGCGTGGTCGTCGATCGCTGTGCCCATCTCATCGGCGGTCCTCTCGAGGAAGTCGTCGCGGTCTGTCGTGATCCACTTCTGTAGGGTCGACTTAGACTTCCCGAGGAATTGAAGAAGAGCGTCAAAGCAGTGCTGGGCGCTGTGCACGGCGTTGGCTTCGTCGGGTTCCACGACAGAGGTCGCTAGGCTGGAAGTGCTGAATATGATAGAGGCCACCACCAGTTTCGCGTAGTCGCTGAGATCGGCCAGGGCACTAACGTCGGCGGGGTCGGGCAGGAGAGCTTCCTTCGCTATGATCTTGGCCGTGTGGCGTAGCCTCTTGTCACCGAAGTGGTTGACAATCCCGTTTTTCTCGGCGATCCGCGTCGTCTTGAGTATCGAGCGGCGAACTCGCAGGAGTGCGAAGGACCGCCTGGCGATGTAGGGCTCGCGTGGAGCGCGGCCGTTTGAGCGGAAGCACTCGTGCGCAGCTTCCGTGACCTTCTCGGTGACTATGGCGAGGTGCTCGTTGAGGTTGGTGTCCCAGGGCGGGTGTTTGACCCCGTCGAGTTTTTGGCTGGACTGTTTGCGGCACCCTTCGTCGGCTAGCTTGCTCTCGTCTAACTCAGGGACTCCTTTGGTGACGGACGAGACGATATGGTAGGCCAGCTGCAGCTTGACTGGGTAGTGGTCGTCCTTGGTCTCTGGGTCTTGGTCGCTGTCTATGCCGCAGAGCACGGCGCACTCTTCGATAGAGTCGATGTAGCCCTTGGGGATGATGACGTAGTCGATGCGATGAGGGTCCTTGCCCGAGTGCCAGGTGTGGTGCTCTGGTCCATGGCTGGCGAAGGTGTTGGCGGCCGCTAGGTGGTTGTTCAGGAGAAGCTCATGTAGACGGTGTCCGTTTGGGTCCTCGTTTTGCTTGAAGCCCTTGTCGCCGATGGCCGTGTTGGTGATGTTGCCTGTCTTGGCATTTGCGTCGAAGAAGATGATGTTCACTTGGTGCTTTTCGGTGGTCTCCGCGAGCTTCTTCCAGTAGCTATCCTTCTCGGTCGCGAGGGCCTTCGAGCGCGGGGCGTGGGCGACGGCAAGCACGCGGTTGAAGCCAGGGGCGGCAACGAGGGCGATAAGGGGCCTGGGGTCCTTGACAATTATTGTGAATTGGTCGGGTTCGAAGAAGACCTCCTTTTTTACAGCTCTTGCCGTAGGGCTTGCTGAGTAGAACATGCAGCTCGCAGCCGTAATTGAACCCTTTGTGGCTGCTGGAGATGGTGTGGTAGCAGTTGGCGTTGGCGCATCTGGCGTCGTCATCGTGTCCTGCGTCGCGGACACCCCAAGGCGCCCTTGCCTCCTGAATGCCAATGATACGGAGGTCCTCGTCGCACAGGCAGGCCATCGTGGACTAAGCTTATTAATATTCTCTTTTCGACGCTTCGATCCTTCCGTTTGGCTCTCTCCCCGACTGGATGTTGAAGGTCGCGATGTTTATTTCTACTATGATCTTCTTGTCGCTGGACTCGTTGGGGTTGTGAAAGTGTCGGGCCTCGGCGGACGTCTCGACCCTGTTAGCTGTGAGGTTGCCGTGGCCGAATGCGGGGTATGCCTCCCTAGTGTTGGGATCCGCGTCGATCAGGAACTCCCAGTCCCGCTGGGATGCGCCATCCATGACGCTTGCCCACTCTGGCTGAGGAGGTGTAACCTCTTGCAGGCGTCCGTGGTTGGCGGCGGCGTCGGCAACCTCGTTCCACGGGTTGTAGTCGTGGGCGTGGACGTGCTGCAGGTCGATATTGTTGCTGACCATGTCGTAGAGGATGCAGAGTGTCCTGACGAGCTTGGGGTCGCGGTCGGTGAAGGCGAGCCTCGTCGCGAGCTGCAGGGCGCCGAGCGAGTCCGTGGATATCGTGGTGATGTGATGGGGGTTGTAGTGTACCACCCAGGCGAAGGCCCATATAATGGCTGTGATCTCGACAGTCGTGGAGGTGATCTCGTGCTCGACGTTGTCCTTGAGGGCGATGTCGGTGCCGCTCTTGTGCTTCCCCATGATGGCCCCCTGGAAGCTGAAACCGCGGTTGTCGTCACCTACGATCACAACGGACCAGGCATCGTCTCTCGGCTTCTTTGGGTTTTTGGAACCGTCCGTGAAGAGATGGATCTTTGCTCCTTCCTGGAGTGGTCGTTGTGGGCGGCGACGGAGCATGTAGTCGGCTGTCTCGTTGAGTCTCTCGTCGCATAGGACAAGGGTGATGTGGGGAGATGGGGATTGCTGTATCGTTTGTCGGATGGTTGGTCGCTCGTCGAATTGTACTCTGCGCTGCTCTAGCAGCGGGGGTGGCCTGTCGAGTGTTGTCGCTGGCTGGTTGGGTGGTACTGGGGGCTTGACGTTGGTAGCCCTGAAGGGTTTAATGGCCTTCCCTCTTGCTCGATGTCGACGCTGGCCCTCGGTGCGCGGCTGCGCTTGGGCGTCGGACAGGCGCGTCGATGTTGAGAGGGGGGGAGTAGCAGAGGTTCGAGAGCGGAAGGGTTGCATGGCGCGTCCCCTGTCGGTATGCTTGGCGTCGAGGTATGTGGCTTCGACGTCGTGGATCTCTCGTGGATCCACGCAGTTGGCTGCCGCAGGGACGGGCGGTGCTGCGTCGGCTCCTCTGGGCGTCTGCGCCGCTTGGCTGCGCATCCAGGGCATCTGCAGTGGCGCCGCTTTTGGTCCCGTGGCGTTGGCTGGCTTATCCTCTGGTGGGCCGTTGGAGGTCCTGTGAGACTCTCTAGGGGGAGAGCATGGCGATGCAGAGAAGCCGGCTTCGGGGAGTTTCCGAGGTCCAGCCGAAGGGCGCCTGTGGAGTAAGTCTTGGTGTTGCTCCTCAGGTTGTTGCAGTCCTTGCTGCTGCGGCAGCTGCATTTCTTGCTGCTGCTGACGTCGGCTGGCCTCCTGGTGGGGCTCTTCGTTCGGCGCTTCAGGAGAAAAGTGATACGGCGCCTTTGGGCCAAAGTGGCTGGTCGCCTGGTTCGCCCTCTGCTGGGCTCGTCTCTGGGGAGCGGGTCGGTCGGGTCGATGGGGGCTTGCCCCGTCTGGCCTCGCTGGCCGCCTAGGTAGGGTGGTTGGTGCACTGCGGTTGTCGGCCGAGGGGATGGTCCTCGGTCCGACGGTTGGCGCAGTCGTGGTTGCTAGTGCCTGCGCGCTGCCATGGTCGTAGTGCTGGTCCCAAGGCGCCGCGGTCGAGTAGATTATCCACTCGCTGATAGCGTTGAAGCTAATATTTTAATTGGTTTTGCTTTTTTGTGTCTAAAGGCGTCTGGGCCTGTCGCTGAGTGTCTGGCACCGCGCGGGTCGCGCAGCGCGTCTGCTGGGGCTCAGTGGTTGCTCCGTCGAGCTGGTTGTTACGTGTAGCCACTCTGAGCGGGCTAGGTGCTCGGTCTTCTGGCGAGGTTGTGGCGGGGCTCCCCCGCTGAGGCAGTTGCCCCCCAGCGGGGGAAGTCCTGTTCAGTTTTTTTGTCGTGTCTGAGCTTGAGCCCGAGCTGCCCCCCTGACCCTCGGGGTTGAAGCGCCCGCGGTCCATTGGGTTGTCGCGTCCGTCGCCGTCATCCAGGATCCGTACTTTGCGCGCGGGCCTGCTGTGAGTGCTTGCCCTTCGGAGTGCCGGCGGTGGTGCCGATCTGGCGCGGTCGGGAGTGGCGATGTGGAATCGTGCTGGAAGTGGTTTCGGGGAATATGGTTGGGTGGGTGCGAAGGGGGAGCCGACTTCGAGCGTAATTGGGGAGCGTGGGGGGGAGTCAGGGTTCCCCAAAAAAGTTGTCTGTGCGTGGGACGGTCGGAAATGTCGTGGGGAAATGGGCTCTTTGGGGAGCGGCAAGGACTGTGCCCTCTGTAGGGGGGCGGCCATGGGTGTCGGGGGGGGGGGGGGGGCAGGAAGGGGCCTGCTCCCCAGGAGGCAATAGGTGTCGGTTGCTCGTCGGGGGGGGGGGGGTCGGCGATGCTCTGGTTGAGTCGCGGAGGTCGTGGTCGTTGGGGTCGTCGAAGCTCTGGTCCTCTGCGTGTCGTGTGGGGGGTGGTGTGGATGTCTCGGCCACGAATCCTTCGTCGACGAGCCGAAATCCTTCACATCAGTAATTTTGGGTCTCGGAGCCCACAGGGCGGTTTTTCATGTTTTCCATTCGACGTTCCATGAAGTCCGAGGTCATTCCGAGAGGCTTGCGTGCTTGTTGCGGATCGGTTGATGTGGGCTGGGGTTTCTCAGGATTGTACATTTGTTTTGCGCTGGGGCGGTTTCGACCCCCATCCCTGGCTGATCCACCCCGCGGGTAACGTCGCAGGAAGAGTTCGATCATTTCGTTCGTAGTGCCAGCGATGCTGTCGCGGACATTGACCGCGCCACGGGGGGGGGTCGTCCAGAAATTTCCTACCATATTGCAGTGTTGGTTCTTCGTTTTGAAGAGACACCGCCCCGCGTCATTCCTTCCGGCCCCCTCCCTCGTCCTCCCTCTTCGCGTATCTGCCCCTGCTCTCCGCGTGTCCCCGTCGTCATCGTCCATCGTCATCGTCGCCATCACCATCATCATCAGCATCATCAGCATTCTCGTCGTCTCCATCATCAATACCACCACCATCCTCATCAACATCATCAAAACACCCCCCTTGTTCCCCCGCGTCTCTGCTTCGCCACATCCCCCGCAAGTCTCGTGGCCTTGTGAGGTGCTCCACCGAAGGCCCCATCGGCAGGGTCCTTAGTGCGCCGCCCAGCCCATGTCGGCACGCCCCTCAGACGCTTCGTGTCCCCATGAGGAGCTCATCGGAGGTCCCGGCGGCAAGGTCCACATGCCGTCGCCCAGGCCACATTGATGACACCCTCAAACATTTCGTGCCCCTATAGGCAGCTCCACCAAAAAAAGGTCCCAGCGGCAGGTTTCCCAGGCCGCCGCCCAGCATATTTCGGCATACGTTTCACACGCTTCGTGGCCCCACGGGGAGCTACACCGACGGCCCCACAGGCAGGGCCCACAGGCCGCCGCCCAGCCCATTCCGTCATACGCTCAGAAGCTTCGTGGCCCCATTGGGGAGCACCCCCGATGGCCCAAGCGACAGGGTCCACATGCCGTCCCCCAGCCCATGTCGTCCACGAGTGGCGCCCAGCACGGCCCAAGAGCGCCCCAAGAGGCGCTGAGTAAGTTGCACCCTCATGCAAATAGTTTTTGTCACTTGTGGGGGTCCTCTTGGGGCCCTCTTGGAGCATTCTTGGGGCCCTCTGGGAGCGTTCTTGGGGCCTTCCCGGGGCCCCAGTGGGCCCTCGGAGGGCCCCAAGAACGTTCCCCGAGGGCCCCAAGAGGGACCCCCCAAAGTGGTACAAAGAATTCGCGCGAACGTGCAATCTGTTGTAGGCCTTTCGGGGCCCTCTGGGAGCTCTCTTGGGGCCCCCATTGGTGGCGCCTTGGGGCCTTGGGATGGCTCCAAGAGGCTTCGGGATTGCCCCAGACCGCCACAAGACAGCTCCGAGACGGCCGTCGAGCACCACGGGTGAAAGCAAGTGAGGCTAGGGAACAGGGCCTCTGGTAAGCCGCCACTGCGCCCCCTGGACTACCCAGACAGCGAGGGGACCTGAAACGCCCTGGGGCTCCAGGGGCCCCAGATTAGTGAAGTGAAGGTTTTTGCCATGCAAGCACCCCGAAATTCTTCACTTCACTAAACCGGACCCAGGACGAACTCGCTACGCTCCAGTCCCGCGGGAGATCCAAGACTCCCGCCGCCGCCCGGGGACGTTGCTGCATTGCGGTGCTCTGGTCACTGTTAATGGCTTCCGCGGGCTGCAGCGGCTCACTTCCATGACTACCCCGACTCACGAATCCAGTGGTTGGTCTGGCTCTATGGGTTGGTTTCGTTGTGTCGGTTGATTTTATGCTTGGTTGGCGGTCGGTGGATTTCGCGTTGTTCATTGGTGTCGTGAAGTGATTTGTCGTTTGGTTGGTCAGTGCCGTTTTGTTGATTCGTGCCGTTTTGTTGGTTGGTGTCGTTTCGTTGGTTGGTGTCGTTTTGTTGCTTGGTGTCGTTTTGTTGCTTGGTGTCCTTTTGTTGGCCGGTGTCGATTTGTTGGTTTGTTGGTTGGTGTCGGTTTGTTGGTTGGTGTCGTTTTGTTGCTTGGCGTCGTCCTGGCGGCGTGGCCGATAATCGGCGGCCTGCAATGGCGCCAGGATTTGTTTCGGGCCAGCCTTGATCGCCCTCATCATTCTCATATTCGTCAGCGTCAGCACTCGTCGCCCCCATCCGCGCACACATGCGGCCCTGGTACGGCTCTCACGCGGCCCTGCGAAGGCCTTCACTGTGCTCCCCAAAGCTTTCTGAGGGGCCCCCCAGAGGCCCCAAGAGGGCACTGGAAATTGTCGCTTCCAACTCCGCCAGGCGGAGGTCAACAAGGGTCTCACTGGTGCACTTCCAGGAATCGTCGTTCGATCCTCTTGGGGCCCTCCTGGGGCCTTCTGGAGCCGTCTTGGAAGCTCCGAGCGGCTCCATGAAGGCGCCGGGCGATATCGCTTCCAATTCCGCCAGGTGGAGTTAGACCAGGGGCTCACTGAGGCCCCTTTTTGCGCCCTCCTCTGCCTTTGAAAAAGCCCCGATGGGGTTCTTCAGTGCCGTCTTAGGGCCCCTAAGAGGCCTCCAGTAGGGTATTGAAGTTATCGCTTCCAACTCCGCCACGCGGAGTTGAACCCAGGGCGGCTCTCTATGGCCCTTTCGGGGCCTTCTTAGAGCTTTTCTGAGGCCCTAAGTGGGCCCTGGGAGGTGTCATTTTCACGGGCGTTGAAAGTGACACCGCGGAGGGCCCTCTTGGGCCCTTCTTGGGGCCTCTCTTGGGTCCCTCTGGGAGCCCTCTTGGTGCCGCCCTGGGGCCTTCTCGGGGCCTTCTTGGAGCCTTTCTGGTGCTCTTTAAGTGGGCCCTGGGAGGTGTCACTTTCACGGGCGCTGAAAGTGACACATCGAAGGGCCCGCTTTCCCTCGTAGCGCTGCCCGTGGCCGGGGCATTGTGCAGCGCATCCCTCGTCGAACGTATTTTGTCGGACGCGTGGTCGAATTCCGCCAGTTCGGTCGAGATGGTGGTCAAGCGGTTCGGTTGCAATGTAGCCATGCGGATCTGAGCTTACCATTTCTTGCCATTTTGGCGGGGATCGCAGGAGCGTTTGTGTTGTGATCAACTGTGCTCGATATATCCAGCGGCAGCGTTTCATCCCAATATATTATTTTGAAAAAAGTCAGCAGGGGCCAAATTGCTGATGTGAAGCAACATAGGTCTCGTACTTCGTGCGTCTTCGGAGTCTTCGGGGTCGTTCCGTCTCCCGCAACTGGCGTCGGAGCAACTCCCGAGGGGGATACGGGGTCGATGAGGGAGCCGAGTGGTTGCGGCGTCGTCGCTGGTGGTGGGAGTGGTGGTGGGCGGTGTGTTGGTGCTTGTGTCTGCGGGTTGTTGTGCGGGTCGGTGGCTTGGTGGGGCTTTTGAGTAGCTGGGTGCGTGCAGTTGTAGCCGAGGTCCACGGAGCGATCTTCGATGTTCTCGCTCCCACCGTGCCTGCACCTGATGATCTCCGTCTTGGCGCTGGTGTAGTTGCCGCGCGACTTGCAGAGGCTGCAGTAGAAGGGCGGCGTTGAGCCATTCGAAGATCCTGAAGATGAGGGAGCGCCGCGATGTACTGCAGTGCTCGGGGTCGCCATCTGGATTAGTTCGGCGTAGCGCGGTTCACGGGTCACGTCGTAGTCGAACTCGTGCGACGGAGCGATGGCGTGGAGGGCGGAGCGTATGTTGTCCCGTTGGTAGGCCTTGTCGTCGGCTCGGGTTTGCATCTTCTGCTTCTCGTTTTCCGTGGTTAGCGCACTGGCGACGCCGTCGAGCATGTCAGTATCGATCCTGGGTGCGATGCTGTCGAGCTGCTCCCGAAGGGTCTTCTCGAGGAGCGCTTTGTGTACTCGATGCTCTTCCTGTTGTCGGGCCCGCTGTTCACGATGATGCTCTTCTTGTGATTGTCTTTGTGCCAGTGCGGCTTGTAGCTCAGAGATGGCGAGCTGCTGCTGCTGGTGTATCTCTGCCTCGTATTGGCCGTATCTCTCCAGGAACTGCTCACGTTGATGCTGGTCGTACTTGCTCTTGTGGTGCATCTGCTGCTGGAGAGCCTGGGCCTCGTTGAAGAAGAGCTGGTGCTGCTGGGTAGCCCGTTGGTGCTCCGCTTCTTTGGCTTCGAGCTGGTCGCACTTGTTCTGGATGTGGCGCTGCGCCTCGAGCTGGAGCTCCGCCTGCTGATAGACCACCTCTCGCTCCCTCTGGACCGCGGAGTGTTCCTCCAAGAGCTTGTTGGCGGCAGTGGCGGTCTGCTGCTGGATCACATGCTCTTGGTGGATCTCCTCTCGCTGTAGGTCTGCTTGGGCTTCCGCGATCTGCTCAGCAATGTCGTTTTTTTCTTTGCATCTCCTGGGCCGCCATGACTTGCACGGCCTGCTCCTCGAGACGGAGGTCCTGGTTCATCTGCTCGATCCTCTGGCCCTCACGCTGCAGTCGTTCGCACTCGCGACGAAGTTGTTCGCTCATCGTTTGCTGGCGGGCTGCTTCCTCAGAGGTTGGTGCGGTGCAAGCCTGGGGGCCGTTCTGGCGCTTCTGCTCGTGGGTGAGCTTCTGACGATCGAGGTCGTGTCGCAACGCGCGCTCGTGGTTCTCGGTCCTCTGCGCTTCCTGCTGCATCTTCTCGGCGTAGAACTGATGGACAAGCTCTTCTCGATGCTGGAATGCACGCTCTTGCTGAGCTTCTTGTCGGCGGAGTGCCTCGGTGTTCCTTGATATAGCTTGTTCGGTGGCATTCATGGTCGTCTTGGATAGCTCCTTCTCGTGATGCACGAACCTGTCTCTATTTTGCATCTTCAGCTCGGCAAAGCACTGCCGCATGGCCTCCACCTCCTCATAATTATTCTTCTGACTTTTTGCGGAGCTCGGCGTTGGCGATGCTGGCTTGGCTCCTTCCTTCTCGGCGTGCTTCCTCGTTTTTTCTCCTGAGCTGCTCTGCGATGGTGCTTGATGGGGAGGCCGGCCTGCTCGAGCACGAGGAAGGAGGCTCTCGACTGGCGCGACGGCGGAATGGGGTGCTGGCCCTTTTGTTTTTGTGTTTCTTCATGTCGTCCTCGGAGTCGGCCTCGCAATCGGTGTCGGCTTCGGCGGCAATCTCCATCTTGACGTCTGTGATGAGGCGCCGCAGGTCGGAGATGCGCTGGGTGTTGGCGTCCGCCTTTGTCTGGAGGGCTTCCTTCTTCTCGTGGATGTCTTTCTGCTCATTTGCCAGCACCTCTATCTGAGACCGATATTGTTGTAGCCGTACGCGTGGATCAGTGGCCATCGCGAGCATACATTTGACGACCGAGGCCTCGGTAAGCAACTTGCTGGCGTCAACCTTGGCAGACTGGGCGCCGGTGATCTGATCAGCAACTCGGCCAAGCCTCTGTTGGAGGTTCCTCGTCCACAGCTTCCTCATGTCAGGGTCCCCTGGCGGGAGGCCGAAGGACTCGTGGTCGCGAGATCTGGAGAAAGGAAGCTCGAGCACTGCGTCGGCGATGGCCTGCTGCCTCTTGCTGAGGGTGAATTCCTGGATGTGAACGGCGGCCTTCTTTCTCGACTCGGAGCGGCTCCAGGAGCTCTTGCTCTTGTATGCAGATCTCCGCCAAGGCTATGGTTGCTCACCCACTGCGGGCCCAGGGTTTGTGGTCCCTGCTCCTGACCACCTTTCCCCTGGGCCCTGCGCTGGCGCCTGAGCTGTGGACCCTGCTCCTATCCACCTTTTCCCAGCGCCGCGCTGCGACGCCTCGAGGTGTGTGGCCCCTGCTCCTGACCACCTTTCCCTCGAGGCGCCGCGCTGCTGCTTCCAGTTCTGCGTCATGGCGTGCTGCTGGTGGCGCTGGGGCTGCTGCGAGCTGTGGTGCTGCTCCAGCGTGCTGGCTGCGGCCGCCAGCCTGATGAGCAGCCTGTCTTGTCCTCTTTGGGTCCTGGCGCGGCGGTGCCCGGCCTCTTCCTTGGTCCTGGGCGTGGCGGTCGGGGTGACCGCCGCGGCTGCGGTGCCTCTTTGTCTTCTCTTTAATGGCTCCGCGGCGCGCGAGCCACGACCGAAGGGGCGACCGACGACGAGCGAAGCCGCGACGGTCCCAGCCCCTCCTCGGCCGAATGGCTTTCCTTTTCGTTCTCCTCCTCCTCCTCCTCCTCCTCCTCAGGGCTGCAGAGCGGCGCCGCCTCAGGGCGAGCTCACGATCCACTTCAACGGGGAGGAGGTGAGGATCCCGTGGACCTCCAAGGCCGAGGTCCTCCAGAGGCTACAGCAGGGCGGGGTGCTGGACGAGAAGAGCTGTGACTTCCTGGCCGCGGCCCTACTTGACGAGCCGGCGCGGCGGGCCGGGTGGCTGGTGCCTTGATTTTGTGGTTTTCGACCGTGTCGGGCCACATTTCCCTGCCATCCCTTCAGGCATCGACCTCCAATCGCCCATTGATTGCCGATTGGTGCCAGAAAGCCTTCCCCGCCCAGGAACGTGCGAATGCGCTATCGAGGACCTATCGCAGATCTATCGTCGATGTATCGCCAATTCCAGATCGATGTTTCCCCCTGGAGCCCGTCCCCTCCCCCCTGATGTTGCCCCTTCTCATTTGCCCCCCCTGTTCGTCCTCCGTCGCCTCCTCCTCGCCCTCCTCCCGCAGCGACTCCGTCTTCCGCCGTCTGCTTGGCTAGCGTTTCGTCCCTCGGGCAACTGATGCTCGGGTGGGGCTAGCTCTCAGAGCGTACTGGAACGTTTTGAGCAGGTCGCGGCGCCCGTCACGTCCTCCAGAGCCGCCGGATATCACTAATCCCCGGTTTATCCCTGTTCGATTTTGCCCCTGTCTTGGCTTCGTCTCAGATGCTGCGGGGAGCCGCCCCCGTTCAAGCAATCTGGTCATGGCAAGGGGCACATGGGACCAGTGGAGGAGCGGGCGGCGCCTAGAGCGTCCAGCGCCGTTGTCGGTGATCCCTTCATTGGGCACGGGCCCGGCCCTCGAGGCCCCTCTCCCACTGGCACTGCCTGTTTGGTGGGGCTTCGGGTTGCGCGCAGACGGCCCCCCAGGTAGCCCCGGCTGGCATCAACACGCCCCCCGAGTAGTCCGCGGCGGTCTCAGCACCCCTACGCTTGGGCGCGGAGCGCCCCAGGGGCGCCGCCGGGGGCGGCGCCCGGGTGTTGAGACCGCCCTGAGCTACTCGGGGGGCCTGTTGAGGCCGGACCACTCGGGGGGCCTGCTGAGGCCAGCCGGGGCTACCTGGGGGGGTCGACGGTGCGTAGTGCGAATCCTTTCCATGCCTGTCAGACCCGTGTTCCCCTCCCCCAGTCTTGATTCACCGATGTCCCTCCTCTACATAGGATTCCTTAGGAATCCTATGGAGAGGGGGGGGGGGAGGACTCGCAAGTTGCGCGCCCGCTTTTATTGTAGTGGCCTCCGGCCAGTGCCGCCGGTCTGGGGCGCTCCAGATGCCGGTGGACATGGACGACGACGACGACGACGACGACGACGACGACGACGACGACGACGACGACGACGACGACGACGACGACGGCGGCGGCGGCGGCGACGACGGCGGCGGCGGCGGCGGCGACGGCGGCGGCGGCGGCGACGACGGCGACAACGGACGACCCTTCCCCCCTCCCCCCCCTTCAGAGCGGACGGGGGTGCGAAAGCGCCGACCCCTCCCCCTCCCCCCCTGCAGAGCGTAGGCGGAGGCGGGCGCGAAAGCGCTGACCCCCCCCCTTTCTCTGGCAGAGCGGAGGGGAGGGGCGAAAGCGCTGACCCTCCCCTCCCTGCAGAGCGGAGGCGGGGGCGAAAACGCTGACAACCCCCCGCCCCCTGCAGAGCTCCGAAGCTCAAGCGCACGCTTTTTTTAACTCGCACGCCGGATCGGCGGATATATGCAGGAGGCGGGCAGCCTCGTGGATGGGTGGCCGCCCGTCTCGGCCTCCCTTCCTCTTCTCTGTCCTCCTCGCTCCTCCTTGAGCCTCTGTCTGCTCCTCCGTAGGCCCAGGATGTCCTCCGGCCCCTCGCCGGACTAGGGCAGAGTTCTCTTCCACGGAGCTCACCCCACACTGTAATTCGATCATCACGTTGTTCTGTGCGAGATCAGGCTCTCGTGGATCACGGGCTCCGGCAATGATGTTTGCCTTAGGAGTTGGGGCAGCCATCACCGAAGTGGCCTTCTAAGGTCGACGAACAGGTTCTGCAGGAAGAGCAGAAGCAGCATGAGGGGCAGGACAACGAGCGGAGGAGGAAGGATTGACAGGCGCCAGCGGCGACCAGACTTCGAAGGCTGCAGATCTGTCTTAGCAGCGAGAAGCGCGGTGTCGGCGTCTGCACCGACCGCAGGACTTGGGACATGGGTGGGAGCTTCTCGTTTGTTTCCCGTCAGAAGGTTTTGTCTTGGAGTGTGGGTCGCCCGGCCGGTACTGGCGGGCATTGTTGCGGTAATAACGAATGCCGCCCGAGGGGCGCGCGCGTCGAAACATTGGCAACATGCTGAGGTGGTTCGGCCCGTTTCGCATGACACATCGTCGCAATATTGCGTTCTGAGACGACCACATTTGACATGGTCCGGCCCGTTTCGCCTGAAATATCCTCGCAATTTTGGGTTCCCAGATGCTACGCGAGAGGTGGTCCGGCCCATAGCTATTGCTTGAAACATCCTCAGATGTTTTGTTTTCGGGGATAGGGTGACCTGAGGTTGCCTCGTCCATTTCGCTTGAGGCATCGTCGCCACGCTAGGCTTGAAGATGCCGCCCGCGATGTAATCCGGTCAGTTTGGCCTGAGACGTCCCCTCAATTATTGGCAAAGCGATGCCGCGTACGAGGGGGTCCAGCCTGTTTCGCATGAGACGGCTCCGAAATTCCGAGTAACCGTTGAGGAATGCGAAGCGAAGAAGGAGTGGGAGGAGAAGGATGAGGAGAAGGAGGAGGAGGAGTAGCAGGATGACTGAAGACGAGGGTGAGGAAGGGTAATGCTCGTATTGGTGTCAGACAAGTACTCTTGTTTTCAGTACTCTCGTTGCACTTCTCGTCGCCAGGGCTGGACGCGGCTCGATCGTGCCTGGTGATGCGGGCTGGTGCTCTGCCGACAAAGGGTGTGTCACGGGCCCGTTCGCGCCCAGATTGTGGGGATGTCTCGAACGGTCCGTTTGTCTTGCGGGGTGGAGGTGAATCTCGGAGCCGTGTGGGCCTCGCTGGACACTTTGGTTGGCTTCTGGGGCCGTTTTGGCCCCATTCAGGGCTTGCCTTGGGCCTTGGCTGGCCGGGGGGGGCAGTGCACCTGAGCCTGGGTGCCCGGGTCGCCCGGGACAGCTCGGGGCGACTCCAGCAACCCAAACGGCGGTGCCACGGAGGTGCGGGTGGAGGGTTTCTCCGAAGGGCTTAGGCGACCCGTCCTCCTCCTCCTCCTCCTCCTCCTCCTCCTCCTCCTCCTCCTCCTCCTCCTCCTCCTCGGGTCGCCTACGGCCCCGGAGAAAACCGAGCATGTGCGGGGGAGGGGTTGCCCTCAAACAGAGCTAGCTGGGTGCGCCCCACGGCCCGCGGAGCCATCCTCGGAGCCTCGGGCTCCGAGGGGCCCTGACTTCCTCTGGCTCGTTTCGCTGGAGACGTCTTCACAGCTCTGGATTCCAAGACGTGGTTCGCGAGTTCGCGAGGTGCTCTGGCCCGCTTCGGCTGAGGCATCCTCGTAACCCCAGGCTTCGAGATGCCCTGGATTGAGGTGCTCTGGCCCTGTCGCTGGAGGCGTGCTCACCCCTCCGGGTTCCGAGATGTGGTTCACGAGGTTCGCGAGGCTCCTGGGCACGTTTCGCCTGAGACATCCTCAGACTCCCTCGCTTTGACTGTTTGGCCTGACACGTCCTCGCAACTTTGGGTTGAAGATACGGTTCACGAGGGTTTAGGCCCGTTTCGCTTGAGACATCCTCGGAGTCCTGGGTTCCGAGAAGCCCTGACTTGAGATGGTCGGTCCCGTTTTATTTGAGACCCATCATTACGTTGTTCTCTTGAGACATCCTCGTAACCCCAGGCTTCGAGATGCCTGAATTGAGTTGCTTTGGCCCGTTTCGCTTGAGACGTTCTCACCACTCTAGGTTCCAAGATGTGGTTCGCGAGGCACTCAGGCACGTCTCGCCTGAGACATCCTCGGGATCCCTGGCTCTGACCGTTCGGCTTGAATCGTCCTCGCAACTCTGGGTCGATGATGCGGTTCGCAAGGAACTCAGGCCCGTTTCGCTTGAGACATCCTCGGAAGCCCGGGTTCCGAGATGCCCTGACTTGAGATGTTCAGTGCCGTTTCTCCGCAGACATCCTCATTGAGTAATTTGACTGGAACATCCTCGAAACTCACACCTCTGGGTACCAAGATGCGGCTCGCGAGGCACTCGGGCCCGTTTCGCCTGAGACATCTTTGTGTTCCAAGCTGTGCTTCGCGAGGTACTCAGGCCCGCTTCGCCTGAGACATCCTCCGAACCGCGGGCGACCGCGAGATGTCTTGAATCGATGTGCTCTGGCCCGTTTCGCTTGAAACGTTCTCACAATTCTGGGTTCCAAGAGTTGATCCGCGATGTGCTCAGGCACGTTTCGCCTGAGACATCCCATGAATCCCTGACTCCGAGATGTCCGGACTTAAGGTGACCAGGGTGTAAGTGCGCCACGCTTGAAGGCGACATTGCTGGATCTGTTGCTGGGGTTTTCCTCGGTGCCGTGGAAAGTTGGGAACCTATAGAAAGTGACATACCAAACGAGAAGTCGCCATATAGATGATGGTGCCATGTGCTTGTGTCAGATATTCCGGTTTCGCAGTGTATCGGTGCATGTTTCCCTGTCTTGGTCAAGGTTGGTCTTCAGGGTTATATTGGAGAGTAGTTGGAGATTGGCCACTGAACCCGAGACCAAGCTCCCCGACACCGGTGCGTTTGAGATCTTGTCGGGCCTGAAGCCGGACGTGCGCAACCCGTCTGCGTTCGTGACGCAGCAGGCCAAGAAGTTTCAGGAGACGCCTCCGCGCGATCTTGCGCTACGGTGGGGACGTTCGTTAAGGAATTGTACCCAGGAGACTGCGCACCCTGGAGGTCCTTATCTGATGAGGGCGGCGGTGATATCCATGGCCGATCCACGATTGGAGTGCCACTGGCTTCCAGACCCCGGGTTCCTTATCTAAGGGTTGTTTGTCCAATGCCCCCTTGTATCCCAAGTCATCGCATGCAGCTTGGCTGGAGGCAAGAGTGCAGCAGCTCCTCCCCTTCTCACGCTCAGATCCACGCCCCACCTTGCGTGATTTGCGGCTCCGCCGTCGGTTGTGATCGGCGCGATGGTGGGGTCATCATTCCCTCGCGCGCGCAGGCGCGCATGCGGAGGAGCAGGAGGAGGAGGAGGAGCAGGAGGAGGAGCAGGAGGAGGAGCAGGAGGATCAGGAGGAGAACGAGGAGGAAGAGGACGAGGGCATCTGGAGGAGGAGGAGGAGGAGGAGGAGGAGGAGGAGGAGGAGGAGGAGGCACCCGAGGGGCTGGGGGGGCGGTCCGCACGTCCGGGCCCGAGGGAGGCTAGTCTGCTCCCCCCGATTCTTGGATGAGGGGTGCCCTGGATCCGCGGCAAGCGCGGAGGCGAAGTGAGAAGGAGAGGGCCGTTTCAGAAGGCGGCGTAATTTCCCAGAAGCTCTTGCGCCTTCTGAGAGGTTAGTTGCGTCTTCGGGGAAGGCTTGGAAAAATGATTGGAAGGCCCGGGGACTTCCGAGCCTTCTAAGGGGGCCTTCTGCTCACTTCCCACCCCGGGCTCGCCGCCGAGTCGCCCCTGGGACTCATGTGCAGTTCAGGGAAGCAATGGTGGAGTGAGTCCGAGACGGGGTTTGTACATGCCCACCGGCTGTGGGATCGATCTTCGGGGACCTCGGCAGACGGTGGATATGGATGCATTCGGATCCTGGGGGGCCAGAGTTTATCCATATCCAGCGACTGCCGCGGTCTTGGAAGATCCACAGGCTATAAATGCCTGCCTCGCAGTGGAGGCTTAAGGAGCCCTAGCCAACAAGCTTGAGACTCGGGGAGTTCTAACTGGCAAGCTCAGAGCGAGTGAAGGGCAGCTGCCTGCCGAGTCTTCATCGGTGTCACGCTGGGCACACGTGCAACCCCAGCAGCTGGTGCGTCAGGTCAGGTCAGGGATTGGGTTTATCGCTGACCCCAGCTTGAGACAATCAATCGGTGGATGTTGCCAGTGTTCGAGCGCATGGCTTCTCTGAAGATCTGCGTCTCAGGCGGCAAGACCGTAAGATTCTCGTCTCATGCGCCTCATAGTGGATATGACTACCAAGAGCGGCAAGGCTTCTTCAATGACCTCCGAGGCTTCTTTGCGTCATGTTCTGCATATGGGCCTAAGTTGCTTATGGGAGATGTTGATTCTAAGCTGTACGGCAAGTTCGATGACGAAGGACACTTAATCGGACCCCATGTATTTGTTCACCCAGGCCACACATGCAAGCCCGGTGCGAACATATATGTGTGTGTGTGTGTTGGGGAAGCATCCGTTCAGCTACACATGTGTTTTGTGAACACCTTCTTCTAATTGCCGCAGCGCCAGTTGGCCACGTGCTAGAACGTCTGCTGCCCAGCTGGACAAGGTATCGATTGGCGCACTCATTCTTGAATCGACTTATTGGCTTGCGATCAGAAGTTGTTGGACAATGCATCAAGCGCTAGTGCATGCCCAGACGCCCCATTGTCTTCGCACCACTTCTTGTTGAACGTCCAGGTCCGGATCACTGTTGACAGAATGCCGCTGGCCATGCGGAGTCCTAGATTTGATGTGTGCAGCCCGATGGAGAATACTACAAAGCATCGCTTCACTTCTCCGTTGGCTGGGTCTTTGGAGGAATGCGCAGACTCTGCGCCTGACCAAGGGGATGCGAATCTGGCTTGTTGTCAGCTGGTTGACGGATTTCACCATGCATCGACGATCGCGTTACCGACGAGTCCAGCCCGTGCCAGAAAATTTTGGATACTACCTCCCACCTTAAAAGTCGTAGACACGCGCTTTGCAGCCGGACGCCGGGGCGACATCGATGAGCGCCTTGCCAACATATCAAAACAGTTGTGCCGAAGTACCGGGCCGCTTGGATGGAAAAGGCTTGCCGACACTGGCGATTGTGGCCAGATTATCAAGTTTTGGAAAGGCTTGTGCCCCCTTGCAAAGCAGGATGGACAGTGTGAGTGGGGATGTGGTAAACAACGACCGTCGAGCAAATGCATTGGCAGACCACTTGGAAAATGTGCAATTGGCGGTGCGGCCGACGACGGTTATGCCGGCGGACGCGCTCCACGCAAACGTCATCCCCATCAATTCTTGTGACATCACAGAAGAGGACGTGGGGAAATTTGCTGGCGAACTCAAGCGAGGCACAGCAGGAGACCCAGACTACATTATTTCTGTGTTTCGGCGGGCGGCGACCGACGACGCATCTCCAACTCTAGCATTGAACACTTGCTTCTGCGATCTGGTATGCGGCAATTGCCAAGTACCCGAGGTTTGGCATGAGTCAGAAG